TGAAATGTAGCCGGCAGCATGAACCTCAGAGTGACAGAGGCAGCTGTGCAGGGTGTACTGAAAGCTATTTTGTCTTCAGTTTCTCTCCCCCACAAGTCAGAATTCATTAAAATGGTGAGCCAAAGCCAAACATTAAAGTCTACATGTAATGAGCTAAAACGGCTAAAATGTTCACTGAATGCAAAGAGGAGTGGATTTCATTCAATACACACCACCGCTTGCCAAGAACTCCTCTCCTGCAGATTGTTTGTCTAACCGTATATGTTGTACAGAACATGTTCAAGAGCCAAGATTGCTCCATGAGCCCAGAACCCTTTTTTCAAAAAACATATGCTGGAGTGTGTTCAAAACTAAAAATAAATCAAATCAATCCAAGCACCCCTGAATGTGGTGTCATATTCAAGCAGGCTTATGGAACACAACCTAAGGAGAGATTTGATACATTTCAGCAACAATATGACATGTGAGTTATCAATGTTTGAAGGTTTTGAAAATAGCTTCAACTTGGTGAGAAAATTGGAATTAGCACAGACACACTGTAGTGTTACTTTTGAAAATCAGGTATGCGTTGGCGCTACTATGTACATAGAAACTGGTTTACTGCTTACTGTAAGTATATAAGACATACAAATTCAGTAAGCAACTTCCAGTACCTATGTACTAACTCATCTTAGTTATAGTAACTTGCATTTAAATGCATTTTACTTTGAAGTATTAATAGTTCTAACCCATAATTACCTACTCCTGTGCACTTATTTTAAATGTAATCTGTTTGCATGCTTTTTTCTAGTCAGATCAACTAATCAGATTTCACAGTGTATAACACCTCATATGCTTAACCGTTTAGGTAAATTATCACTTATAAGTGATAGAAATCATACAATCAAGGGTTACAATAATTTTTAGAGTTAGTCAGGAAACAGAATTAAACTGAACTTGGTTCACTTCACAAATAAGTGAAAGTCTCACTAAAGCAGTAGAAAAGCCCAGCTTACCCCTTATCCTTCTAAAAGCTCATGTTCAGCAGCAATAATATTATTCTCCAACTTAACCACACCTCCTTTAAACTCTTGCCCAATGACAAAGTTAAGACCTGCCAACGAGTGGCTTTAGGTCAAGTTTTACAAGAACAGAATATAGCTAAGGTGTAAAGAACCTGACTCATGTAACTGTGATGGCTCACATCGTGAGTCACTGCAAATGTTGCACAGCACCAACTGTTTCTGAATGAAGTTAATGTGGCAGCTTTACATTTAAAATGTATCAAACCAGAAACTATTTTAGTTGTGACCTACAATACCACACATCTTAGACTGTTTGATTAAAAGGCAGCTTTAATAGCAGATCAGGCTAGCAGAAGCTAACCAATAGCAAATCTATCACAGAGCAGAACTCCTCCAGGCTTGTGTTATTTGTGGAGATAAAGCATCAACGTCACAGAGCAAACAGAGTCAGTGGTAGAGTCATGTTGCTGTTATCCAGTCAGAGGTGAGACCAAGGGCGTCAGTTTGTTTTCAGAATTGCTGGGGACAATAACCATACACTTGAGTGGGGTTTAAAAATTGCTGGGGACAATATAGGCTAGCACAGAGGTCGGCGGCTCTGTAGCCGCATGCGGCTCTTCCATCCATCTGATGCGGCTCTCTGTGCTTGTAAAATAATGACTGGATATTTAAATAAAATGCGTTACATTTTACTGCATACATTTTACATCTGTAAGCTAATTCTAAATGTAAAGATTGTCTGCGTAAACCTGAACAGGTCCAACCCGGTCTTACTGTGAGACCGGGATGACGTGTCACGCTTGTGCGTAATCATATGCGCTTCATGAGCTGGAGGATGTCAGATTCTGGGATTCTCCTCAGACGGCTCCTGGATGCGTCGCCACATTGGAGACAGGAACAAGCACTATTCAGCCAAAGTTTCATAATCAGGGAACATTTTCTAAGTGACAAGTCTCTGAGAGACAGGGTTTGGAAAACACTCGCTTCAGTGGGAGGAACCTTCTGCATGCGCTCTGGTTCTGAGAGCCTGGATTTGTATTCTGAACAGTCTAAACATGTTTTTAAAAGAAACGTATGACAAAAGTGGCACCTGCTCAGTAAAACCACCAACAGGGTGAAAAATATCAAAATATTGTCGGCAGAGACGGGCTACAACTTCTGGATCCACTTTATATAAATCGTTTTATTGATTATGAAAGATAACTTTGACGTACACCAGCGACCAGGCGCGTTGCAAGATTTTCAAAAGTGTGGGAGATGTTGTCTGTGCCTAAAATAATTTGATGTTATTCACCTTGTTAGTTTAATTTCCATAATAGCGGAGCAGGTGCGAATTTTAGACGCGTCACGCATGTCTCCGTTTTAAACATGTTTAAACTGTTCAGAATACAAATCCAGGCTCTGTCTCGTTAGATCGGTGTAACTAAAGTTTGTACTGAATGAAACTTTACATTAAACCATGTTGAAAAGAAAATGATCCGATTAAATCATTTCCCCTCATTTACAGTCACGACGTACAGCGCAGTGCGCACGGCTCTGGGGTTAATCAAGTTTAGTTGTTTCTCTTTGCAACAATCTTCACAAGAAGGCAAAACAGTTAAATGGCAGGTTACAGATATTTCCATTTGACTGTATTTTGATGGATAAACTCAAGGATGCTGGCTGTTTTGAAAGAATTACCCCGACGCACACTGATGCGCATGGATGAGCTTGGAAAAATGTTCTTTTCATGAAATTATGAAACTTTGGCTGAACAGCGCTTTTTCCCGTCTCTAATATGGACACGCATTACGCATCCAGTCTGAGGCAGAACAGCAGCTCAGAAAGCTCCTGTAGAGACATTTGATTACGCACAAAGTTTATGTGGAGCAGAAGCGGTCGGGCCACGGCAGGTGGAATGTTCCTAGCCTACATGAAGTCATAATTGTAACATTAATATGTTACTGGACACGTTGGTCTGGTTGGTTAGACCAGTGTTGGAAGTGGAAAACACACACACACACACACACACACACACACCAATTAAAATAATGCTGATGGACTAGAAGACAGGTGATGGTTTTATTTAAATGATGATCAGGCTGCTGTAAAATGTAATCTCAATCCACATCCAGACACAATTATCCTCTATTCTATTTGCTCTGCTCTTGTCTGGACTGATAGCTGACGGTGCGCACGGCGCGCCTAACGGCTGTGGTGCACATTTTACGCATTTGGAGAGGTGGGCTGGATGCTTTGCGTTTACTGGAAGATGGTCCACTTAACGCACGGGTGTAGACTACATATTAATGACAAATGAATGAAAATTAAATTGGGAGTTTTTACTTCATATTTTAGAAATAAAAATGACGGGGTAAAACATTCATGACATATTTTTAAACGAAATTTTCTAGCGCGTCCTGCCTGCTTCACTTAAGTCACTGCTTATTAAGGTCAGTCCAAAATTACTGTGGCCCACCCTAAAATGGAAACCTGGCGCCGCGCCAGTTATAAACCTCTGCAAATTGTTGTTCTTCACTTTATCAAACTCAGACTTTGTACAGCTAATGTCAAAATGTAAAATTATGAATTCAGTCGAGCTCTTCCGTCCCTCCCCCTCCTGCTCTCCTGGAAACCCGACATTGCGGGATGTGAAGAAGGAGATGAGGCAAACAGAGTGAGTGCGACGTAAAGAAACCAGACAGGTGTGGAGGTGAGCAAAACAGCTGGAAAAGTGTGGGTGTTGAATCCCCCACGGGTGCGATGTCCATGCGAGCGACCGGTACCTGCTGCTGTCACCTGGTTGTGAGCAGCCCTCTGCTGTCTGAGGGTAGGCCCCGCCCACAACGCCGCGGCTGCTGCGGTGTTTTCTTTACTGTGGGAAACGGGTAATAATGGCTCTTTGATGGGAACAGGTTGCCGACCCCTGGTATAAGATCTGAGCTGGTAAAACAAAAATCCTCATCAGCAGGCTTTTTTGAAAGTGGGGGGGACACAGCTGCCAATCACAAATTTTGCAGGGGACATGTCCCCGGCGTCCCCGGTTAAAATGACGCCTATGGGTGAGACGTCCAAATATCAGGGAAAAAGACTCCAAACCCTGTCGTCTGAAGCTACTTTCTCCCCTGGCTTCTTCCTACATCCTGAAACAGGCGCACCAGATCTTTTCACCCCAGAGAATGACTTACAAGGCATTCATTCCTACTAGAGACCACTGACAAAACATGAGTAAAGCTGACCTTTAACCATTTGAAGCACTATTAGTTTTAAACCTTGAAAAAAAGGATTCTCTGTAAATATGGCACCAATGTAAAGTACAACTCATACTTCCAGCCATGAAATCCATCTTAAAACAAACACAAAAATGAGCATTCCAGCAAAAGGAAGTGTCAACTTTACAGTTTCTACACATCTGTTTACGTGAACAGATCAAATTCAATAAGAGGTTTGTGTTCTGTAGGACTCCTTGATCATGTCACTGGAAAAAATTGTAACAATGAAATTTTGAAACTCCTCTCTCTTTACTTTTGGAGTTTAAACGTTCATGCAGTTATGTATATTTATGAAACAAACCATAATCAACTGCCAGGCAATGCCACCGTGTGCAGCATTTTAAAACTAAGCCTGAGTCTTGCTCTGGTTTATATAAGGCTTTAGCGAGGTCTGTGCTTAATTTACACACGCCTGACAGGAATCCAGATCAAGTTCAAGCCAGGCGTTAACAGAAATGACGCTGACTGCTGCCTCTTGCTGACCAGCTGGAGTAACTGCAGTGGTGTGGATAAGGAGCATGCCTCAAAAAGTCCCCGAAGCAATTAAGATTTGCTAATTGTCTTTCAAAAGTTTCAAATATCGCCATAAAACATTGTCATTTAGAAAAAGAATAAAATAATAAAAAATGAGCAAAGAGAATCTGAAAAAGTCAAGAATGAGTCATCCAACTCTGTAAGGACCATTAGCCATGCATATGTGAAGCGCTGATGGTTGTTATGTTTTATCTACCTTTTATTTGTGCAGAACCCTCTGAAGTAAGAAAGATGTTGAGGAAGACGAAGGAAACTGAACAAACTGCCGTTGGGCAGGCACCAAGTGCAGAAGCTGAAAAACCTGCTGGTGAGCCAGCGCCGGGTACGGACGCCGAAAAGCCGGCTGGTGAGCCAGCGCCGGGTACAGAAGCTGAAAAACCTGCCCCAGAGCCAGTGCCGGGTAAGTAAAGATGTCAAACAAAGGTCGGTATTCCAGCTGTCTCCATCTGTATTTATTCCAAGTATTAGTTTCAATGGGACTGAATTGAGCTGCAATTCAAAACTTAACTACAAAATTCAGAATTGTGAATGGTTATGAACACGGAAAAAAAACTCTATGTCTCTGAAAAAATTAACATCGTCAGTGACGTGAAGCCCTATTTTATGACGACATGAATGTCAAAGCGTTTGATCGATGATGTCAAGATAATCTCTGAGAACACAAAGAAAACGGCTCAAAACAACAAGAAAGATCTTGAATATTGATGGTCTACAAACTACTACTGATCACCTTTAACTTCAACGAGTCTTTTTTATGTGCAGACAGAGACACTGAGGCCACTCTTACAAAAGAGGAAGCAACTGACTCTCTGCCAAACTTGAGAATGTTGTCACTTTGGTGTCACGCTTCTTTTTTTTTAAGAATTAAACCAAACAGATGTTCAAAGAAATCATCCAAGTCACCAGAAATGGCAGAAGATGAGATAAAAAAGACCCAACAACTGAACGAACGACAGCTGGAATCTGGATAAACCATCTCTATCTGAAGACAGACCAAGAAAAGGAATAATTAATGCAAACCCAAAATATGACTGGCATACAGCCCAGGATTACCGCAGCACACTCTTGATGCTGTCAGACTGAAAATGAAAAAAAAAACGTGTCTTTTCTAACGCAAAAAATTGTGATCTTTTAAGTTAATTTCCTACAAACTTTTTAAGTTTTTCTTGATTTTCTTTCAAGCACCGTACAGAAATTATCCTGAGATGTCTGCCACGAGAAAATGCAAAAAGCCAGCTTTGCATTGAGCCTCATCAGCAGTTGCACAGCACGACTTTTTTAAATGCTGGTGCAACACCACAAGGCTAACATGCTCTATTTTACTGTCTTTGACTAACTGTTACTGTGTTTTCTGTCTCTTATGTACTTCTGTGTCTGTGGAACTTCCGTTTGTCAAATCATGAGTAATATCTTGTATTTTGTGGTCTTTCATGGCGATTATGTGTCCATAATCCTGTCAAAGTTGCAACCAGCCATGGTGCTTTTGTCAGGATTAGCATTAACCTGTCCTGTGCCCTCTCCTGGTGTCATGTTGCGTGTTAAACCGACGATTCTGAGGGAGTTCACCCCGGGAACAAAGGTACGCGAGCTGAACAGGAACGCTAATTACACAATTGATTCACCTCCCACAGGTGCATGATGCCATGTTGTGTTCAGCTGCATGCGTGATGTGGTTCTTCATCGCTTCTGGAAAGGTGTCATCACCACTGGATGATACAACTTTCATTGTCCCAATGGATGCAGCTCATTGGGACATTTTCACCAGCCTCCATAATGACAGAAAACTAGCCGATGATGGTTCTAGAGGACACTATGAATGGTTGTACAGTCTGTTCTACAGCCTAAAAGCCAAAGAGGAAGTGCACCTTTTACACACAGCTATAAAGTCACAATACAACCTTTAAAATGCCCGAGTATATAAAATTAGATGTAGACTGGCATGTAGGCTAGATGATGTATCGATTCAGCATGCAAATAGGATGGAAAACATTAGATGTAGTCCATGAAAATCAGCCAATAACCTGGCAGCATATATTGGCAATCTGCTAACCATGACCTCTAAATGTCGAATATTTACAGAAAAAAACATAATCAGTCCGACTTTAATGAAATAATGCAACATCTCCAAAAACAGAGCAAAAATCTTTTGCCAGTTTGATAAAAATAAAATAATAACTACAACTTTGTATTGATAGTTAAGAAAATTACAAATAACTTCATTTATGGGCCTTTTTTCATCTTCCACAAAGATTGCTGAGCTACTGAGCTAGCGGTTCATTTCTACTCCTATTCTTGCTGATATTTGACCTTTTCATGCCTTCCTACATGCGACCGTCAAACGTTTTTTTCATCCAAAGCTGCTCTAAGAGAACAGTGAGCTGTCAACTCAGAACCTTACACTCAGAGGATAACAAGCTGGAAGCTGGCATCTTGACATCTTGAAGCCCTTAAGGCTTCACCTAACTCTTGATCTCTTCTATTACCACAAGTTCTCCGGAACAGCACAAGCACACAACACTGTGTAGGGATCAGACTCAACAAACATAATCATACAAGAAAGAGTGCTTTTTAGTAAGGCTGTGAAGTAGATCAGTGTCCTTCATAGGGATGCATATTGGTGAAGTTCTGGCGATACGACATACTGTGATACATTCATCCAGACGACATTAGTGATTTTTTAAGACTGAAATAATCGTAGGAAAATTTAATAAACAGTCCAAACTGATATGTATCATTTGTAATATGAGGTATCTGAACCATAATAGAGGGATTTATGTTTGAATGGCGGAAACAAAGCTCTTTTGAATTGCACCAAAAGAAAAAACTAAAATGTTTGTATGTAAACTCTTCCAAAAATTCAATACACAGCTTTTGAATATTGATACAATATTGCAGGAAAAAATATCACGGTATATTGCCATATTGATGTTTTCTTCCATCCCGGGTCATTTACAAAAGATCTTCAGAGCACATTTTCAAATTAATACAGATTTATCTCTGCAGGGTTCTAAAATCATAATAATGATTTTTGTTCCAGTGTCTAACTTAAACACTCAGAGCCTAAAAGCAAACTTTAAATTGTTTTGTTGCTGCTGATCATCAATACGATCAGCAAGACTGTGGTCACCAATACTGATCATTGATACCAATTGTATGGATTGGCTATACATTTTCAATGTAGTCATGAGTGCTACAGATACATGATTTGGAAATAAAGGAACAATAACATCACCTTAAATGGCCTGTAATAATTTAGACAAAAACATGTGTTTACTTTCATTTTTTGTGATTCTTCATTATTCACAGAGCAAAAAGAGCTTGTTTTTACCTTTGCTGACATGTTTCGGCGTCCAATGCCACCTTCATCATAGCAAACGCAGATGTTGGTGGCATCACTTCTGTTTATCTGCGGCAGAAGAGGACGATATCGCCCTCTACTGCCTGCACCTTTTCCATTGGTGACCACGTCCCATGAGTGGTCCAGTATGTAAACTCTTGTCCCTGTTCATGTCTCCTTATGTTGACAAAGGTAAAAGCAAGCCATTTGTACTCTGTGTGTAACGAAGACTCACAAAAAATGAAATCAAATTGAAAACAAAGAACAAATGTAACAAAGTTGATTTTACTTTTTCAAGAGAGAAAAAAATACTTGCAGCACAATCAGTAGTTTGTTTCTGACCACAATGTCTAAGCCTCCTACTCGCAACCCAAGGTTCAGAACTGAAGGATCTTCTTGGATGAAAGGCAAAACATATTTACGATAACCAGAAAAGTCCTGTTTTCAATTACATCTCTCAAGATGCTGCGGTTTTATTTTGAAGGGCAGTTCAGAGGGCAGAAAGGGTTGTTTTCCGGTTCTAATCAGTGGCAGAGGTTATACTAAGGAAAACAGCTCTGTTATGAACAGTTCTCAAGCACCATCGGTCCCTCTGACCTTCACCAGCAGGCAGCACTGGTTAAGTGTCTTGCCCAAGGACACAACAGTAGAATTTTCTGCAACCCTCAGACTACTGGCCAACACTCTCTACCTCCTGAGCTACTGCTGCCCCTTGTAACGTGTAATTTAAAACTGAATAGGCAAGGAAATAACCAACAAACAATTACTTGTTTTAACCACTAGAAAAATATAATGGAGTATTTCTGTAGAAACCCTCAGAAGCAGGTTCAGTTTACATCTTTAGGAGCAGGGAGGGAAGCTGCAAATGTTGGCTAGAACTTTTTCTACATGAAAAAAAAAATCTGGAAAAAAATAATAAAGGCAAAAAAATAATAATCCATTTTGTTGAGAACTTTTAAAAGGGCAGTTTGGATGGCACAGCTCCACAGGATCGGGGACTGTAGAGAAACTCAGATGAGCTTAGATTCAGTTTTCAATAAGCCTGCCTTTAGGAAAGAACCCCAGTGATGGACTCAATCTGCACTGGGCCAGTAACACCCATTAGGGTTTTAGCGTTAGTTAATGTGTGTGTCCGTGTGTGTGTGTGTGTGTGTGTGTGTGTGTGTGTGTGTGTGTGTGTGTGTGTGTGTGTGTGTGTGTGTGTGTGTGTGTGTGTGTTCCAGCAACACAATGAACAGCTGAGGTGCTGCTGATTTCTACAAGGCAACAGGCGAAAGTTAAATTATTTCTTAGCTGCAGGCATTTGACCCGGGGACTGAATGAAAACCTTCTGCTCTTCAGTGATAGCAAGCATACTCGTCTTCCAGCTATGACCCTAAATGTACTGAAATGTTGTTTAATGCTGCCCATAACATAAAACATATAATGTAATAAACAGACAGTTTAAAAACAGGTTATGGTTAATCAGAACCACAATTATAACTATTATGAATAAACTGGCTTTTAAGAACGATGGAACTAATACCTGGTTTGAGCATCTATTCAACTTCCTGTTTAAAAAGCAGTTTTCATATGAATTGCTTAGATTTGCACCACCATTATACTTTCAACAGCACAATAATCAACTTTTAGCTAAAACAGTCAATAACTTCTAATCATTCATGGAAAAGTCTTAAACTTTAATCTGACCTGTTAGAGGCTTCCTTTTGTGATGCAACCTGCTACATTACTGAACAGCCAGGAAAACGCTGGGGTGTTTGGCAAACAAAGCTAAATGTGCACCAGTAACCAGGACTGGTAAAGCAAAAGGTCAATAAATCTTCAGTTTCTACATAGAAAATTTTGAACATTTTGAGTCTGGATAAACAGACTAGTCAGATAGAAAAATATCAGTGACACATCCTCCACATAACTGCTTCATTATGTTAACTCATAGCATGCAGTTATTTCAAAATAACTTCACCTTTAACCCAGCTGAATATTTAGGACTGGACTGAAAATTTGCAACTTTTGTATTTGACCGTGGATCCTGTTGTTTCCCTCACACTTCACAGTTCCTACTGTGTGTTGAATGCGTTGTGAGGGAGTAAGGTCAGGGCGAAGCAAATGCAAAAGAGAGGCAAAGTAGCTGAGAATGTAAATTGACTAACTTGCACCTTTTGTTCTTGCAAAAACAGATTTTGTCACAAACTGAGAGGCAGTTCAACAAACCGGCGGGAAGGTCAAACCATCCCATCCAGCCACATTTCGCTTCACTCAGCTGGAGGAGGAGGGCTGATTTGGTTTAGAAACTTTGTGCTTTTAGCTTTAACGCTGGAAATATGCAGAAAATCACTTTTCTGTTTGTTGTAATGACCTGTATGAGTCACGGCCTGGATCCAGTGACGCTGTTCTTCACATTAACACACATCCCATGTCTTCTAAGAAAGTCTAAATTTAGTCTCCTTTATTTAGAAATAATTGACCTACAACGTAATCATTAAAATGTTCACCTTTTAAGAATGAATTGCAACACTGAAATGATTTTCAGCCTTTTTTAATATGCTTTTAACATTTGCTGCCTCCATCTTTGCCCATCTATATTAACTTTTGTCAGATCAGATGTATTCATTTTGAATTATCACAATAAACTCTGACCTGCTCAAATGAAGCTGTTTTAATTTAACCAGGCATCAAGAAGAAGTCAAAAGTGCCCGGAGTCATGATCACGCAGTTTGTGGAGCAACTTCCTGACGGAAAGACGACTCCAGATTTTACCCGGAAACCCATAGCTATAACCATTCAAGAGGGTAAGTTTCCGTTTATAATATAAGTTAAGGCCCTGCACAAACATTTAAATACACACCATCGCTGATGACTATAATATTAATATAGTCAGAATAAACAAAAAGTCTTTGTAAAACTAACTGACTGAATATTTTGCATAAAGATCCAATCGGCCGATTAGATAACCATAAACAGAAACTTTTATTTTTGAGTATCAACATGAATATAATTGCCAAAAAATAGGTTTAAAAATGTGTGATAAATGTTTTCAAAAGCTTAGAAAAACCTGCATAAGCATGCAAGGAAACCTTTTCAAAGCTGCACTTTGACTGCAGATCCATTACTCTCACTAGAAATATTTGATGATTTTTTTTCCAAAAAACACGCAAGTCTCCAAATAATCAAAGATCCAATTATACATTTTCAACTCCAAAAGGCTTCAAGCAGCTGCAAATTTACATTTTATCTTCTCCCAGAATCTCCTTCGTGAATTTCTTTGCTTTACTTTTTGATTTTAACAAAAAATTATAAAGTAAAAAATCCCAGAGCTAAAAGACACAGTTGGTTTGGTCAGAAGAAATGTTCAGCAGAACTGTGCTCATCCTGAAATAGTCTCAATGTAATTTGTCAAATTTCTGAGGATGTTTTGTGTCATTTTTTGGGTTAGGGTAGAGTAAAGCTTGTTTGTTTAATAAGGTGAATGACCTGTATCTGATATAGCACCTTCTGGAGTCCAAGAACCCCTGAAGGTGCTTTACAACACAATCAGTCTTGATTGGAACCCAATGACAGTGACAGACCAGGGCTCGAACCTGTAACCTTCCAATTACAGAATGGACACTTAACCTTTCTGTCACCATCACCTCACGAGGAAGGAGAAATGACTAAATAATAATAATTGTAGCGCCACCACCCAAGCAAAAATCAAAGTAGAGATTATAAGATAATTTCACTTTTCTAACAATTAACTTTTTTGTGGGTTACGGTATCACTTTCTTACAACAAATTATTTTGTAAGTGTTTTGTATAAATGTGGAAAGTGCAATGTGATGTAGTACGATACATGGTAGATTTGGTACACTGAGTATAAAAATTTACAATCCCTAAACTTTCTCATTAAAAAGATGGGAATAAAAAAGTTCCACCAATTAGGAATTTTTCATTACAGGTAAATCAGCCGTCTTTAAATCCATCGTGGTCGGCGATCCCACACCTACTGTAACGTGGAGCAGAGCCAATGGAGAAATGTTTTTTCATCCTGATGTTTGCATCCAAAAATATGACGCGGCAACGCAGGAGCATAGGCTTGAGGTAAGCTTCATAAAACCCTAAATGATGGCAATCCAATGTAAATACTACATGTAAACACTTTTAAATTATAATATGACAATAATCCGGTTATTGCCCTTAGTTTCCAAAGGTGGCTCCAGAAGATGCTGACACCTACAAGTGTTACGCAGCAAATAAATATGGGAGAGCAGTTTGTACCGTTGTTCTGAATGTTATTGAGGGTATGATTCATATCATTCACCAAAGTACATGAAAACAACAGAGATCCAGACAACAAAACATTTTTAAATGATTTGTTCGCAGTGGGATTCTCCAAAACAAAGGAGCTCCAAAAGACACTAGGAGAAGGTGAGGGTTCTAAAATGGGGCTTTTCTTTAATTTGTTCTTAGTATTTTGTGCTGCCATGTGGGTCTCTACTGCCTCTATAAACATTCTAAACGCGGGTGAAAAAATAAACCGTTCCATCTGTCCTCTGTCAGGAAATATGTGAGGAAAACAAGCCGTTAAAAAATCTTCCATTTGTGATGTCACAAACAGAGGAATAAGAATGCGGCCAGCTTCAGGTTGCTTTCTTAATGTGACAGACCCATGAAACGGCTCATTCTGGAAGGTCTTTAAACTGTCGAGAAAAAAACTACAGAATTATTATTGTGAGAACGATTTTGTGCAAATAATGTCATAAAAATGCTGTGTATTTCCTTTACAATGTTCACTATGTTCTCTTTTTGAATATTAATAAATTAAATGCTGTGTATTGACCATAGACTATATGACGTAAGAAAAAAAGTAGTTATATGTATCATTTAGGGCAAAATAACAACCAGGACAGACAAATATCAACTGCTTGATACTTGAAATTATGAAGTGATCCTATTTATTTTGTATCTAAATATTTATATTGTTTTTAAAAATCGTATTCATTCTTTTTTGCTTGTTTTGAATGGTTCCTTAGACATGACAGACTTAAGAAAAAAGCTTAAAACACGGTGAGTGAAATGCTAAAAGCTTGAGTGTTTTTCTTTTTTAAGAAACTCATCAGACGTAGCAGAAATCATCAACCAATTGTTTACTCTGCAGTAATCCAGATGGAACACGGGAGGGAAAGCCGATGGAAGCAGGTGAAAAGGTTTGGGAAATCCTGCTTAGTGCAGAAAAGAAAGATTACGAGAAGATCTGTGCCGAGTTCGGCATCACTGACTTCCGTGGGATGCTGAAGAAACTTACTGAAATGAAAAAGGAGCGAGAGGAGGAGATTGCACAGGTTATTCATTCTGTCAACATCAGTTATTTCTACTACATCATACATTTATACAATAAAGGTTTTTTGCACATTTACTCATTTGTTTTCCTAGTTCATCACACATATCAGGAACCTAAAACCCATTGAGGTCAAAGATGATGACTGTGCAACTATTGAGTTAGACATGGACCTCATGGACCAGAGCAGTAAAATATTTCTGTACAAGGTGAGGCAGTTTTACGTAAATGACTGTATTTGATTCTGTGAAGAATGTTAACTTGTCTTGTTGATAACATTTGCAGGATGGTGTCATGGTTCCATTCACCAAAGAAGAGGGTGAAGGAATGAAGCACAGTTTAAAGCAAGTGGGCAAAAAGTACATTTTCACGATTAAAAACCTGGGGAAGGACGACGGTGGGCTGTACTCAGTGGATGTTGAGGGAGTCAATGTGTTCTCCACAGATTTTAAAGGTACGGTCCAGTTAAATCAATGTGCTGCCAGCCGTTTCCTGATCGGTAAAGCCCTTCGCTGCCAGCGTTTCTCACCGTTTTTACTGTTTTTTTAAGAGTCACAGAACTAGGATGATGTCGACGCCAAAACAACTGAAACAAAGCGGAGACTCACCTCTTACATCAGGAAGAATCCGCGTGTTTCGAGCGTTATCCGTTCTTTCATAATCCGTTGTTGAATTGTGATCAGCAGAAGCTTTTCCGGTTCACGCTTCACTTTTTTTTTACAGCAGCGGACCAAAACGATCTCCTAACACATGGATTTTCTGCTTCCTGATCACGTGACGTGTGACGTATGCAGATGAAGATCGGCTTTAGAGCTGAGATGTTTGTTCTCGCAGTGCGGGGGCTCATTCTGACGCCCACACAGTAAAAACATGCAAATGACGACTTTAGTCATCATTGGCAGTGAATGAGTTAAAAGGAAAATCGAACTCCTGGCCACCAGCAGCTATGTTGCTCACATTTCAGTCAATTTTTGTACAAACTATGCTTCCACAACATGTAAAACTCAGCAGATCAGACAGGAAGTCAAACACAAAAGCAGTGTAAAACATCTGGAAACTTTCTAAATAAAAGTCACTTGCAGATTCCCAGTTGATTGACTTCAACTCATAAAAACCATACGTCTTTTCCTGTGAAGCCTCTGTAGCCGAGGTAAACAGAACAGAAAAAAATTCAGACCTTTTTGGTGATGAGCAGCAATCTCTTTCCTTTCTCGTTATCATGTGAACCGCCAAAACCGCGCATTGTTTTGCAATTCTCTCAAGATTTTGTGAAGTTGCGATGCCAGCAGTGTGGAGCGCTTTTGCTCCTGTTTTGCATCTGAAACTCTTGGGGTTAGAAGGGAGCTTGCGGGGGAAACGCCTCTATTACCTTAGACATTGCTTACGCATCCAATGGAAAGGCTGGGTAAGAGGATTATGTGGATTTAGATCTTCAAAAGTACATTTTAATTAAAGGAAATCAGTTGCACTCTTCTTCGTGAAGTTAATACAAGATAAGATAAGATAAGATAAGAACAACTTTATTTATCCCGAGGGAAATTCTTGTGTCATGTACATGCTCAAAGCAGTCGGAGAGACAAAGGAACAGGTGAAATAGAAACATGATATACAATATATACATTAAAAAATGATCTACAGTAGTACCATGTAGGATACTGCAAAACAAACAATCACATATCTCAGTAATTAAATACATGACTGCATCCTTGTGAATAAGTAACTAAGCCGTCGTTGCAGGCGATTCACAAAAGTGATTAAAGTATTGTGTAAAAGAATAGGTTTGTATATAATATATATATAGGGATGCACCAAAAATTCGGCCACTGAAAATCTTCGGCCAAAAATGACCCAAAAGTGCATTTTTGGTTTTCGGCCGAAACACCCAAATAACTGAAACAACACGTCCGAAACAGACCATCAGATGAACCTCATTTTTGGTTCATCTCGGTCCGCCCTCATGTAGCAACTTGCTCTTTGCTTCATAAAAATCGTACATTCGTACTGATTTTCAAAGTAAAGTTTTTCCCTCTTTTAGTAATGCTGTTTTATTGATTGCTGGAATATTCATATAAATTATGTGACGCACTTTTTACTTTCAGTTTCATATCTACCACTTCTGCCCGGCTTTTTTCTTCTTTCACATTCCCACTACGTCTGCCGCAGTTAGCTATGTTTTTATTATCCTTTCCACGTCCACCATGTCCTTAACACAGTGAAATGAGCTTTGGATTGTGTGTGAAGCGTGTTTACTCTCGTGAAGCATACAGACTTCGTTGCTACACAGCATCACTTTCCATCTCACTGGACACGTGGATATCTTTATCAGAGGGTGAATATTACTCTTCAGAATCAGAGTAACCCAATACCAGACAAAGAGTTTTGTCAACAATGAACAGACCTGTCAACATTGTAAGTTTCTGCTCTCTGCTGTATAATAATGTCCACCCTCTGTGAGCTCCGCTCCTCTTGTCTTCTCTCCTCAGTCAGGAGTCTCCCGACGGGGGGCAGTTTTCAAACTCAATAACCTCAGGAAATTTCAATAGACACACCCAGAAAGTGTTGCTCGGACTGAAGTTACTCATCTCCATATCTTCTGGTGTAAAGTAATAAATTCAGGAGGGATTATATTTTCAGCTGTGGCTCTTTAAATGCAATTTTGTGACTTTGTGTGCATGACTGGGATCTGCAATTGTGTGCAATTTAATTTTAGCTTTCTAGCTTTTTTTTTAAAACTGTCCAACTAGAAATGACATTAAACTGCTTTAATATTCATTTAGTCCTCTCAGTTACTTATTTATTTGTATTTTTTTACTTTTCAGTGCAAGATGTTGACTTTGCTGTTAAAATACAAGAGGTCAAAGCAGAAGAAAGACAGGACGCCCTTTTTCAATGTGTTCTCACTACACCGATGAATGAGGTCAAATGGTATGGGAAAAGTGCACTGCTGTCAAACAGTGGGAAACATGAGATCATAGTATCTGAAGATAAGCTCATCCACAAGCTGATTGTGAAGGACTGTTTGCCTTTGGATGCTGGTATCTATGCCGCTGTGGCAGGAATCAAGTCCTGCAATGCGTGGCTTATTGTTGAAAGTGAGAAAACATTTATGTTCTAATTTTTTTTCTGATAAGTGGCTAACATAATGCTGAATATTAAATTGAAAATTATTCATAACACAATTTTGTTTTCATAGCTGACAAAAATGCTGACAAAAAAGCTAAGAAGACGGCTCGGAAAACGACCATTGCTGGCGCCGGCAATGATGAGGAACTTTTGAGAGTAGCCAAAGAACAACAAGAAAGGTATCAGAAGGAAATGGAGGAGAAAATGGAACTTGCCAAAAAAGCTCAAGCAGAGAAGGAAGCGGCAGAAGAAGCTGCTCGAGCTGAAAAAGAAGCAGCCAAAAAGGCAGCAGCTGAGGCCAAAGCTGCTGCAAAAGCTGCTGCAAAAGCTGCAGCCAGAGAGGCTGCAAAGGCAAAAAGAGCTGCTGCTGCTGGCAAAGATGGAACCATAAAAAAAACAAAGAAAACAGGAGATGTTGCTGCTGCTGGTGTAGGTGGCAAGAGTGGTGCTGCAGGGGCTGGTGCAGGAGGTGCTACAGGTGGAGCTGCAAAAGCTGGTGCAGGAGGTGCTGCAGGTGGACCTGCAGGGGCTGGTGCAGGAGGTGCTACAGGTGGAGCTGCAAAAGCTGGTGCAGGAGGTGCTGCAGGTGGACCTGCAGGGGCTGGTGCAGGAGGTGCTGCAGGGGCTGGTGCAGGAGGTGCTGCAGGTGGAGCTGCAGGGGCTGGTGCAGGAGGTGCTGAACACAGAGGTGGTACTGCAGCTGAAGGTAAAGGAGGACTCAAAGATGTTACACCTGGGGGTGAAGCTGAAGGTGCCGAGGGTGAAGACTGGGAAGAAGATTTTGATGAAGATGAGGATTTTTTTGATGATTCAGATGGAGAAGCAGAGGAAGAAGGGGGAGATGGGGGAGATGGGGGAGGGGGGCACAGAGAAGGAGGTATGGGAGAGGCAGGAGAAGGTGGAGGAAAGGAAGGGGATGGAGGAAAAAGCAAGAAACGAATAAGGGCTGGTCCGCTGGTCCCAGACACAATTATAGGTAAGAATTTAAGTTGTGTTGTTTTATTCTGGAACTCAACAGGGAGTCCATTTTGTTTCTCTTTCAAACAAAAACTACAAAGTTCATCCATATTTGTTTTCTGTAGAGAAGATTCCAGGTTTGTGCTCCTCAAGTCTTCACATTTTCCCATTTCTAAAAGCTTTATGAGCAGTTGTGTCTACTTCTGTGTTTCATACATAACAATGGTGCTTTCATGTTTGTAGACATGTTTCTCTTTCATGTGTATGTTACTGGACAATGTCAATGTAATTGTGTGTAATTGAAATCAGAACTGTTAGCTGTGTTTGACCAACTACTTCCACGTGGTTTCCAAACGAGAAACATTCAAAAGTTACAAAACGGGTTTCATCATTTTCCATAATTCTGTTTGGAGACTTTTTTACTTCTGTCCTTACAGGTTTCATTTTCTTTATGTTATTTGTAAGGCATACCCATCAGCAAATGAGAAACATTGGATATATGACATTTATGACGAGATCCCTTAAAAGTGAAAGCAAAAAAAAAAAAAAAAAAAACTGAAAGAAATTGATGCCAGGGGTGAAAGCGGCTGTGGTACAGCAGCCTGATGTGATGAATCCCCTGAAAATGGTCAGAGTGCAGATGGAGGTGAGCCAGCAGCATCTGGCAGCCATTCAGGTCATGCAAGGCACGGCCCGTTGATGGAGGAGACAGTTAGTGGTAAGACTTCAGGGCAGTGAATCGACTGCTGCATGGGAGGCATCGTCACTGCATAAAGTCATCGAATGAATGGAAAAAATTAGGGGGGATTTGAGGGTTAAAAAAGGATGTGTGTTGATTTAAACCTGGGCAGGGCTGAAATAGACGCTTATGAAATTTGATGCATTCCTGTTTTTATCTCTTCTGTATTTGACACATTTTTACTCGTCATTTGTCTTATTTGTCATTTAATATATATTCTTTGATCTACAGGTTGGTTTTCTGCAGAAAACGTACCGTTTGTGTCACATCGTGTGTGTGTGTGTTTGTCTTTCTAACGTCAGATGCATCTGTGCTTTTTTGTGCATCTATGTTAACATCATCGCTTGCTGTGACTGACTTCAGGATGAGTCGGTGCATTGAAGAAAATGATTTTCATGCAAACGAAAGGAAGAGATTCTGCTCCTGACGTCTATAGATGCACTTTTACAAAGCCGGACAGCAGAGGCTAACTTGAGCTGACCTTGTAGGACCAATATGCTCAAACAATTTTTTTATTTCACCAAGGACAGAATTCACGTCAGACAAACTAATACATTTTTCAGACGGCGAAGAAAATGCCAGTACTGATCGGAGATTTCATTTCTTAATAGGCTGTCTTTCTGTTAAGACTAAGTGAACAGAGGCAAATGAATACCACCAGAGACTTTCAGTTAAGCTTTACAAAGAGTTTTTCTCTATTAAGCTGCAAAAACGAAACTCTTTGAAGCAAGACAATTAAGAATTGCCCTAATGAGGAAGGTGTCTTCATCAAGTGCAAATAAAGGCTAAATCTTTCAAAAAATACTTATATTTATTACATGGGATTTCTACCAAAATCACACTATAAATTTAAGACTCAGTGTATATAAAACTATGAGGTAAGTTTATTTTCAGTAGCCTGAAAAGCCATCCTATGTATGTGAATACATAGTCTGGCCACGAGCCGTCGGGTGGAATCAATGCTTGTCTTTCAAACTATCTCTGCATGTTATTGGACAACGAACAACGTGGCCTGCTCACCGCTATGGATGTCAGTCAACAGGGTAGTCCACCTGTACGCCATCGAAGAAATGGTAAATGGTCTGTATTTGTATAGCACCTTCTTAGGGTTCTACAACCCCCCAAGGTGCTTCACAACACAATCAGTCATTCAACCAATCACAAACACATTCACAAGCTGTTAGTGATGAGCTACATTGTAGCCACAGCTTCCCTGCGGTGCATTGACATAGGCAAAGCTTGCCGAACACTGGTGCCACCAGTCCCTCCGACCACCACCGGTAGGCTCGAACCTGCAACCTTCAGATTACTGGACAACCTGCTCTACTTCCTTAGCTACTGCTGTCCTCAGAAGAAGACGCAACATATCCCTATCTGCTCTTGACTGCATGAAAAGCCCAAGTCTAAATAGTCCAAAGTTGATGCCAAAGCCATTTCAAATGAGCCACCACCATCTTTGTTTTTTTTTTTTTTTTTTCACTCGATCGCAAAATCTCACCTACCAAATCAATAGAGTGCCATGATTGGCAAGACACATGACTGTTGGGCCTGCTGAGGCTCCAAAGGAGTGTGGCTAGAGCGACCTGCAGACCAAAATCCTCTTACTTCTGATACAGTCTGTCTAGATTTCTAGGCTATGTATATATTTCAAGAGAGTTACCTGTGCTGTAATGAATTAATTTGTGGTAACCGTAATGCCACAGCATCAGAATTTCCAAACAATTCAACAAAACTCTTTCAGCATATCTCCCTGTGGAACATATCTGGAGCATCTCTGTTTACTAATTTGCTCATTAATAACCTCTTAGACCCAGGGGTTCACTTCCAAGCTGGCCTCTCTGACTGCAAAGCTGTTATTGGAGAAGCAGCAGAGCTGGAGTGTAAAGTTAGCAAAGAAGACTGTGCAGGGATCTGGTACAAAGATGGAGCTGAGGTGAGCTCAAAGTCTCATTATCAAATGTGTTTCCTGAATGGTACTAAACCAATTAAATCCCAAAAACCTTTTCTTGTTGATTTCCCAGATTAAATCATCTGAGAATCTGACTATTTCAAAGGACGGATGTTTCCACAGACTGAAAATTCTCAAAATCACAGAGGAAGATGCTGGGAAATATAAGTTTGAAGCAGATGGACGAAAGACAGAGGCTGAAATTGCTGTTGAGGGTAAAAGGAAAATACTAAAACTTAAAAATATATGTACAATTGGTGCTGAACACATTTAAATCATTCAGGGGTGTGCATCACAGGTAGGGTTGCCACGGTGTGAAAATTTAACCTCACGGTTATTGTGACAGAAATTATCACGGTTTTCGGTATTATCGCGGTATTTTTTTAAACGTGTTATATTTTCAAAATAAACCCTGTATATCAGGAAAATATTGACCTCGGTTTGTGTCTAAGTTTTGCCTAAAATGTGTTATTCTGTAATTATGTTGTTTATTTGTTTACATATTTCCCCTTTAGTCTTTAAAATACCAATACTTGCCCATAACTTTTTTTTCTCTGTCTGATCTCATCATTTTAAAAATATCAGATCAGATGATACTCAGTACTCAAGTAGCCTTCTAATCAGATACGTTTTTACCCTTACTTGAGTAATAATCCCTATATCAGGAAAATATCGTCCTCGGTTTGTGTCCTTCCAGTGAGCTTTGCAGATTTGGGAAAATGTCATCAGGCAGTAATCATTGTTAAATTCATAATTATTCTCGGAGAGAGACCAACTCTTATCTGCCCCTGGGAGCCCCGTAATGCATAGCGTCATTTCAACATGGGGGTGTCCGCGACACGGTTTATATGCAGGTAGCGGTGCTGCGGCTGCTTTATATAGCGACTCGTTAAATTCTCCCTCAAACTAAAACCTCGGATCACGCAATTTAGCTAAAACGCTAACGTAAACTTGCCTTGCGTTGACTGTAGAGTTGTGGGTGATGGTCACGCAGATGTGTCATGAGATTTGAAGCGTTGCTGCCTTTCACAGACACTTTTTCTGCACGTGCTGCAATCAGGATAGCTATCTTCTATTCTGTCCTTCGGCATTCTTCAAATATCCAAAAAATCCCCGTACTTCCCACTTTGTCTTCATTGAGGGATAATAAATGTCCTGAGCGCTGCTGTCTCCTCCTTTGGCCATTATTTCAGCTTTAGCTTCAAGAAAGTTTTGGTCGTAAACAACAAAGTGCGCATGTGCCGCCGGCAACTTCAGCAGATGATACGGGGGCTGGTAAGGGTCACCGCGCCTACACCGCAGCCGCGGTAATCCACCGAGATATATTTTTTTTAAAAAACAAGACGGTTATTATTAATGTCAACTTTTTTTACCGGGGTTTACCGCTACACCGGTTACCGTGACAACCCTAAAATTTTTCAACTCCACTCTTCATTTTTTTGGCACCAATAGTGACTTGTAAAATAACCATCTTGAATGTCTTGTATTTTGATTTCAGATCCGCCTCGATTCATTGCAGAGGAGTTAGAAGCATTTAAAAATCCTGTTACCGTGAAAAAGGGACATAAGGCTACTTTCAATGTGAGTTTCATTGGGCGAGAGCCTATAAAAGTCCAGTGGTACAATGAAGGGGAAGAACTCGCAGATGAAGGCAACACCAAGATTGAGACCTCAGAAGGGAGCACACGCTTGCTTTTGCTGAAGCTTCAGCGTAAAGACAGTGGTGAAATCAAGATAAAACTCAAAAACGAGTTTGGTACTGCTGAAGCCATCAGCCAACTTAATGTGCTGGGTATGCAAAGGACAGATTTTTACAGAACTTCAAATTTTTGGTGGAAATAGGAGGTCAATCTGAACGTTAAATCAAGACATGTTAATATTTATCAAGCTGTGATGTTTTTCTGACAGATAAACCAACACCTCCAATGGGACCTTTGGAGATAGTTGAAGCCAGTTCTTCTGTAATTGACTTCAAGTGGAGACCACCAAAAGATAGTGGTGGCTGCAAGATACAACACTATATTCTTGAACGACAGCAAATTGGCCGAAACACCTGGAAGAAGGTGGGGCCTATTGGTCCGGTCGCCCAATACCGGGACAGTGACGTGGATCATGGCCGTAGATACTGCTATCGTATCAAGGTGGAGACTGAAATGGGCACTAGTGATCTGATGGAAACAGAGGACATTCAAGCTGGGACAAAAGGTAAACCCAGGTTTAAAATATTTCCACTCACCTCATCAATACAATGTCCACTTTAAATGATCAATAAACCAATTACATAATCCAACCGATTGCGTTTTCAGCATACCCTGCACCTCCATCAGCACCAAAGGTTGTCAGTGTCTTTAAAGACTGCATCAACGTCACCTGGTCTCCTCCTTCTGACACCGGTGGAACCAGTATCCTGGGATACAACCTTGAAAAACGCAAGAAGGGCAGCAACCTCTGGGGCCTAGTCAACCCACCAAATGAGATGATCAAAGGTAACTGGATTAGTCTTCTTCCACTACTTTTTATTTGCTTTCTAACCACTGATGTTATGATACACTTCTATATGTCAATCGTTTGCTGCAGGCAGTAAATGTGCTGTTAAGGATGTGGTTGAAGGCATGGAATACGAGTTCCGTGTCTCTGCAATCAACAACTCAGGAGCCGGTGAATACAGCACACCATCCGAGTTTGTGTTTGCCAGAGACCCTAAAAGTAGGTGGAGGTTTGAAAACATAATAGAACTGTCAAAATGTATAAACTGCATTAAGTATTAGTGTGATATAATAACATCTGGCACTGAATTTCATGTGTACAGAGCCTCCTGGTAAAGTGCTTGACTTGAAAGTGACAGATTCCACCTACACAACCCTGTCACTGTCTTGGACCAAACCCAAGGATATTAAGGGGGTTGAAGACGAAGCAAAAGGATATTTTGTGGAGATCAGACCTGCAGAAAATACAGACTGGGATCGATGCAACTCTAATGCAATAACCATGACAACATATACAGTAAAGGGCATGAAGTCCATGGCCATGTACTGGGTGAGAGTCATTGCTTCTAATGATGGCGGACAGGGAGAGCCTCAGGAACTAAGCAATTACATTCTTGCCATGCCCCCTCCTGGTAAGTAAATGTATGCATAAATCAAACTGGTAATTTAATTTTGTGCCTAAAGTAGCTCGAAAATTACGTTAAACACGGCCCATTATTGACATAAACTTTGTGCAGGTCTAGAAGATACCACCAATATCTAACTTTGCTTTAACTGTAAAGGATGGAACATTATGGAAAGGAAGAATTATTTTTTTAGCTTTAGCAAAGATAAAATTACAGGTGGAACTCTAACATTTAGAATGTGGTGCAAAAGTTCATTTATGTCAGTTATTCAACTTCAAAAGAGAAGCTAATATGAGATAGACTCATACAAAACCAGACATTTCAAGCCATTATGTGTGTACCTGTGATGATTATGACTTAAAGCTTATGAAAACCCCAATTCGAAAGTTCAGACAATTGTAAAAAAAGTTCATCATTCTAGAAACAAGGTGCCAAACTAATTAACCCACAACACCTGCAAAGGATTCCTGAGCCTAGATGATCTCTCAGTCATGGCTGAATTACTGGAATTATTATGCCCCATTTCTGCTTCAACCTCACAAAACGTAGTATGAGAAAAACTTAATCAGTACAAACGCAAAGTTCACTCAACCCCTTGTTTTGAAGGTAATGCAAGCTTCACACTTTCAGTATTCTCCATATGAAGATCTCAGGCGATCAGACCGGGGATAGTTTGTTTTCATTTTCAGCCTTTGAGGTAGTTCTATGCATCATGGATAAACTGTAAAAAGAATCCTGTTAAAGGAAAGCTTTCCTGGTTTATGTGCATTTTCTGAAGAGCCAATTTCAGAAGCTGAGATGGAGTTGGAGTCATTGCTGGTCTAACCTAGCCTGATAATTAGCTCATCATAGCCAGTGCTTCATTTAAGTTCACTAAAGGCAAAACAGATGGCGGAACACGCATGGGGGGTAGTAATTAAAATTGCGCCCACATTCTCTAAGTTAACACACATCGCTTCAGTGGTGGACTGGTAATCAGGAGAAACGAGAGATTTCCCGGTGGCCTGGCCGTTAAACTGGCCCGCTCAGTGATTGCCGGTCATGACGTGCGTAATATCTAAATGAGCAATCCGTCATGCAACTCATCAGGGCATCTGCTGTCCTGATGTTGCACAAACTGAGCAAACTGGGCACAAAGACACCCCCTTCTCACTTTTTCAGGGTCTGGCAAAGCGCAGCAGACACCCACCACCCCAGAGCGGCTACAGCACCAATGCACCTTTGGCCCCAGAGGCCAAATGGACCTAGACGGACCAGGAAAGGTAGAGCAGAAAAGGAGACATTGAAAAAGAAGAAAGCTCTGGCCACAGATGCATGTCCAGGCTGGCCTGTATGTGGTCATGTTGGGAGAACCGGTTTAAGGTGGAGTTTTTGGGCCAGTTTAATTACCGCGCAGTGTGCAATGCTGGGTACGTGGGGTGGGTTGGGGAGAGAGAAACAGCGGCTGCCAGTAACGGATCATGATGATCAGGTTCTGATCATCATCTCATCAGACTCATCCTTTAGGGACAGAGAGCAGTGCATTGGACTGGTACCAGCACCTCCTCCACTTCTAAAAATAACCTTTCAGCATGCCATTACTTTTTCTAGGGTACAGTGCATACCGGTAAATTTTCCAGGTATTCATTATTCGAAATCTCAGAGATTTTTTTTAATATATCTGTGTGTCCTCAAACATCAGTGATCCACAGTCTGGCACGAGCTCCATGAAGGGCCGCATTTTGCGCAAAAGGCTGTCCATTTAATCTGTGCCTACTACGTTGTAAACCTAAATGACACTATTGATGCAGTCATTTAGCAATGAAGAGACCCCCGACAAACTACTAAATTTTCTGTTCCTCACTTCTGATTACCTTCAATGGTGTCCGTTTGTTGCAACCACCAGGTACAAAAAGGAACTTGTTTTTTATGTGACTATTTTTCTGTGCTCTCTCTATTATCTTCCTGCATCTCCTCTCAATCCTAAAGAAAAACTGCTACCTGCCTTCATATTTTTTCACCTTATGAATTACTTTTGAACTGCAGTTCAAAAAGATCTACCGACCGCAAAAATAGCGGAGTGCGAGCTGACCGCACCGGTGAGGTGAATTCACCGGAGGATGAAACAGGTGATGCGCTCTGCAACGCAGCAACAAAATGCATCAGGAAAAGCCAGAAAGCATGAAAGGATATGAGCCGACATAAACAATCGCGTGTTAAATTTGATTTTGGAGACACTTTGAGAATGTTTCTGTGGCCGTGCTCAGGACGCATCTGTCTGGAGCGCGTCAACGATCAGAGCTCTGCGCCTCTCATCTCTAAATAATCCCCAGAGTCCACATAGATAATGTAATATAAGTAGAACCAGGATCGTTTCGGGCTCCCCCTGGGTGTGTTGAGGGCTTCCAGGAGCTCCCTAGCTCACCCGTATTTCGAATCCTGCGTATAGCACAAGTTTGTCGCTTGAGTTGCCGGATCCTAGCAGACAGTTGCCAGAACGGTCCTTTCAAAATAAGATAGTTCCCGGATCTTGTTCAGGCGAGATCCAGCTCAAATTAAGCCTGATCATAGCCTGGAGATAAACAAACTGTAGCAGTTCCACCTTTTACATAGAAAAACTGACAGAAATAAACCTTTGCACAATATTCAAATTTTTTGAGTTTCACAGTATATTCCTAAGCATTTACACTACCCGGACAAAAAAATAAATAAAAATAAGTCACCACCCAAAAAAAGTTCAAGCGGTATTATGTAGGACCACATTTAGCTTTGATTACGGCACACATTCCATTCTGCAACATCACCAGATTTGTTTCCACCCATGTTGCATTAATGTTTCACCAAGATCTTGCATTGATGATGGTAGAGTCTGACCGCTGCACAAAGCCTTCTCCAGCACATCCCAAAGACTCTTAATAGGGTTAAGGTCATAAGGTCTGGACTCTTTGGCACGGGCACAACATTGGGTTTATGTTTACATCTACCAGCCAATAGAGGACACCATTGTGGTAAAAAGTCAGCTCGGCACGGCGAGGCTGGCACTGTGGAAAATGGCGGACTCACAAGTCAATTAGCTGCTTCTGAGCCCAGAAGATGTTCTAACATTAAATACTGTTGTAAAATAAACATAGTAGTAGAACTTAGTCCTTACCCTGTACGATTCATTACTGGGCATGACGCTGAATGGTCACTTCATACATCGGCAGTGAACCTGCCATCCTGATGGCTGGTAACCTTGTTCTTGTTCTTTTTTTTTTTTTTTTTTTTTTTACCAGCCATCCCGATGGCTGGTAACCTTGTTCTATTGTTGCAACTACAACCTCTACACACTAGGTGTCACTATAATGTTTATATACCATATTCAACCTTTAACTTGTTGCCAGCTGGAAGACAATCTCCCATGCAGTAATTATCAAATAGGTGGCCCGTACCTATTTACTTAGGGTAAATTCAATTGATGACTTTTGTTTTGGCCGGGCAATGTATGTTACTTTTCAAGAGAATGTAAACCTTGTGATAAAACATGCTATGCTAACAGTGCCACATTTGTCTGTTTAAATTAACTTCAAGTGTGCAATAAATAACAGCTATAGCCCATTTAAACTATCTAGAGATGACAACAAATATTAAATATGACTTACAAAAAATATAGACACAATAAAAATCTTCCCTGGTAATATTTCAGTTTATATAGATGATATGTTTCAATAATTAATTGTTAGCTTAGGCTGTTGATTTGATTATTTAATATTGCTGTTTTGTTTAAAATACAGCTTAATTTCTTGAAAATAAACTTGCAGGCAGTTGTAAATATTAGATGTTTGCACTCCAAACTAAAATACAAAATGAATAAATAAATAAACACACACATACTTGTGTTTGAATGAAATTCATTTAAACACAAGTATTGTGTTTCTTTTGCATGTATAATGCATTTAGTTGTGTTGCAGTTTTCCAAGTTTTGCAAAAAACTTCTATTTTTAAAATGATTTTTCTTATAGGAATTCTTTTTACTATAACTCTCACTCTGATATTTTTACAGTGAGGCCACGTTTTACTGACGCCAAGATCAAGAGCTTTATGATTGTGAGAGCAGGAAATTCTGCACGAGTCAACATTAACTTTGAGGTAATTGAGGGAGTTGTATAATTCCATGCTTATATATATATATATATATATATATATATATACATACATTTTTTTTTTGGTGCAAATTCATGAAAATGTTTGTCTTTGTATTTTTGCTTAGGCGTCACCTTGGCCAGATGTGATCTGGCTAAAAGACGGGTGCCCCGTGTCTAAAAAGGTGACCATCAGTACATCCGAGGGTACCTCTCAGCTTCTGATTACTTCAGCTGAGCGTTCAGACACAGGAATTTACACGATCATAGTCAAGAACATTGTGGGTCAAGAAATGTTCAGTATTGAAATTCGAGTCACGGGTCAGTTCTACAAACTACTGTGCTTTCTTGCTGTATTAAATACTCTACTCTTAGATTCAAAAGAGAAACATGTGCTTTAACTCCAGATGAGCCCAAGCCTCCAGGTCCGGTGGAGCTCGATGAAAACGTGCCCGGCACCGTGACCATTTCATGGGCCGCGTCTCCTGATGAGAAGCGAGATGACAGGCTTCACTACATGGTGACAAAACGTGACTCGGTCAAAAAAACCTGGCATGTTGTGGCCGATCGAATCTTCAACAATAAATTTACAGCCTGCAACATCATGCCGGGCCGAGAATACAAGTTCAGAGTTTATGCAAAGAATGACATGGGCTCCTCGAACCCTTCAGAGTCACCAAAATGGCTGATTCCTGCTAAAAAAGGTACTAAAAAAAAAGAATAAAGCTAGTGATTTTTTATGTGTTGCATCATGAAGAAATCGTCCTGACAGTGTTGAAATATAAATTATTTATTAAGGTAACACTAAACAGTTTCCAGCTTCGCCATCCAACTGCTTGAAAACAGACTTACAACTGTCGTAAACGACTATGCAGCAGCTGGCTGTAGCTAGCGCTAACAACAAGCCAACACTAACACGAGCCAAGTCTTACTAAATAAACCACAAAATAAAAAGAACCACACTGTTAAACAAAAATGTTATTGCTTACAAGTCCAGAAGCAACAAAGCCAGGTTACCATCAGTTTGTGGTTTCATAGCCTCCTTCTGTTACCTTTAATGAATGTAGGCCAATGTCTACTCTGGTTTTAGCTCTTTGCATTGCCTTCAAAGACATTACTATCTGACTTTTACAACAAAAAAGCCCTGAATTTCTTTTTATTTATTTATTTATTTATTTATTGTCATCTTGTGTTCTTTGACAGTCGGCAAAACGAGAAAGTTAACAGCTAACCTTTTATTAGCTACCAACACAGAAAAAAGCAAACTGCTGTAAAGCACGTAAAGAGCGCCCCCTAGGACACCTACCCACTCCACAAATCTGTTAAGTGCAGTGTCTGGCCAGTAGAGGGCTGCAGAGTGCTGTACCGTGTGAAGTTGATAAAGTTTCTACCAACATAATAATTCCAAAACTGTCCATGGTTAAATGACCTGTTTTTGTATAGTGCTTTCTTAAAATCTTCAAAACACAATCAGTCATCCACCCATGGACAAACACATTCACACACTGGTAATGATGAGCTACAATTTAGCCACAGCTGCCCAAAGGCGCACTGATGAAAGCGAGACTGCGGAATACTGGCGCGACTGGTCCCTCTGACCACCACCAGCAGCCAAGGCAGTTTAAATGTTTTTCCCAAGGACACAAAAGCAGCATTCTCTGGTGGGAGCCAGGATCAATCCTATAACCTTCTAACTGCTGGATAACCCGCTCTACCTCCTGAGCTACCGCCGACCTATGAGGGATTGTCTTTCTAAAGTCTCAAACATGTTGGATGGAAGGTTTCATTGAAGTAGATTTCCTTCTGAGCTGGCTGGTGGGTTGCCAGTTTTTGTTTATTCAATGTGGCCACAGGGTGATGTAGTCTTTGTTTACAATCTGTGAACCTGTGGGGTTGCAGAGTCTGTGTGGCAATTACTGTTCCATCAGCATTTGAGTTTTGAAACCGGCAGACAAAACTCTCCAAAGTTGTTTAAAAAACAAAAGCCAGCAAACAGCCCTGAAGTTATTTCTTGCGCTTCCAAGAAGCTTCGGCATTTTTTTTGTTTTACTCCAAAATCGGGTGAGAAAGGCTGTAGTCTGGCGTTGAGCTAAAGTGCTAACAGTGAATTAGAAGCAAATAATCGGCTCTAAACATATCTCAAGCTACATTTTCAATTACCAACAACTCAATAGTACAGTCAAATGTATTTATCAACTTACTGTTTGACTCATCTTCACTTGCCATCTCCGTAGCTTGCAACAGCAATGTAACTCACCGAACAGTAGAGTCACTCTTTGTTCAGAAACTAGTCTGTGTTACCAAACTGTGACCACAGGATGTCATTCTTACTTCATTCTTACATATTGGCCTTTTAGGTTTTTATCAATGCATTTATGTTTCCCTACAGAAAGATTTACAGTGAAAATGCCCGACTCAAAGGTCTGCGATCTACAGTGTCCTCCCAAGTTCCTCGTCCCACTAAAATTGCACACCGCCCCTCAAGGATATGAGTGCTACATGACGTGTGCTGTGAAGGGAGACCCTAAACCTCATGTGACGTGGCTCAGAAACAACATCAGCCTTAATACCAACACTAACTACTTCATCTCCAACACCTGTGGAGTCTGTTCTCTGCTTATACTGAGAGTCGGAGCCAAAGACACTGGGGAGTACAAGGTTGTTGCGGAAAGCCCACTGGGAAGGGCAGAGAGTTCAACTAAACTCTCAGTCAGAGGTATGCTCCCACCATTTGAGTTTTGCATGATGCAGATTTTACAAATGAAATGAAAAATTTCTGAAACTAATTACTATCTGTGTTCACTTTTGCAGAATAAGTTTAACAGGAGAGCAAAACACAAGGAATCTGCACATCTTTCACAGCAAACGAAGAAAAATTATTAATGTAACTGGTGCAAATTTACATTTCAAGTTAAATATTTGTTTATGAACTGCAAAGGGTTTAGATAAAGTCACAGTTTGTGCATTGACACTTAAACAATTAAACTGATGCCAACTTGATATTGTGCTATTTCATCAAAATAAAAGCTTGATAACCAGTTTGAAGGTTTAACGGTTCACATGGAAAAATAGAAAATGTTTGCTTGTTAGTATGCCATAGTATTTTCTTAAATATGTTAGTGGGTAAACGGGATTTTTGCAAAATGTGGTGAAATTGTTACAATGCATGGGGAGAGTGATTTTGTTTGTGTAAGAAGCGTCAACCCTCCCTCCTAAACATCCAATGGACATCTTACAGTGACTCCTCAGTGGGAAAAGCATCCCCACGTGGCCAGATTGAGAAAGTTCTGGATTTTGTTTAGCATTTTTGATCAAACTGCTTTTGTTATATTTATAACTGTTCGCAGGCTCATTTTGGTTTCACATTACCATCATCGTGTAGCAATGTTTAAGTGATCGTATTTGAAATTCAAAAAATACTCATCATTGTTTGCGTGCATTGGCAAATTTGTGTGGGTTTCAGCTGCATAAATAAATGTTTAAAACTGCATTTTGATGTCAATTTATTGAAGATGTTTTGTAAGTTGCTTTAAAAACTTGACAATTTAAAAGTTGCTACTCAAAAGTTAAAAAAAATAATAATTTGTTCAGAGTTTCAGTTTGGTAAGCTTCGAGTTCCATGCTGCTAGTTTGTCTTCAAGAAGCTTAATTTATGTGCGCTCTTCTTATGTTACGGGTCTGAGCGTGTGTTTGCGGGGTCAGACATCTTTCCACGTTTAGTGCCTCGAAGGAAAAAGGGAACATTGAGAACAAAAATGTGACTGACAGGAGCAGGGTGGCGTTTCACGGTTTCAGGTTGAGATTGAAAGTAAATGCATTTCACTAATAAGGTTGAGCATCTTTTTCATGAGAAATGTTAGTTTTTGAGTTTCGTTTCCAGTTTCTGACCTTCAAGGGCTTAAAGCAAAAACTTCAGAGCATTTTAACCATATTTCTTATTGCATAAAGAGATCCACATGGATGACTAATAGAGACCAAAGTGAGCAGCTCATCTCGAACCTCTGCCTTGACTGGAGGCAACCCTTTCAAGAACCTTCAGAACTTTAGTACCAGGTATCATGGCGTAAACCTATCTCCACGAACTGCAATTGAAAAGCAGCAGGTTGGGTAACTCTGAGGGTCATGAAAGTCTTTATGGCCTTTTAAAAGGGGGAGTCCACGCTAAAGAACAAGACACAAACTGACTGACACACTGCAGAGCTCTGAAGATTACTAGCAAAAATAGTAAGTACTTATTAAAAAAAGCAGGATTTGTTGCATGTTTTTAGACATTTGATTTTGTACATATTTGTGTATTTTGCGTGGTCTCTGCACATCAATATTACTAAATAATTCAGAGTTTAACCAATAATTTTAAACTACTTAGTAAAAAAATATATGAATTTATTTTTCTCATAAGTAAAGTTTTATAATTTGATTCTGATAATGAAAATTATATTCATTAACCAACATTTTTATTATTATTATGAAATGTATTGGTCTAATAGTAAAGTGCTACAACATAAAATCCTGAATAAATAGTCACTGATATTGTTTTAATAAAGACAGTAAATCATAATAAAATTAATTAATTTACAGACAGTCTTCAGTAGCATACCTTCCACACTTCCCTCCTGAGGGAAACAGTCCTTTGCACAACTTTTAGCCTAACTGAAAACCATTTAATTGCACAAAAATAAGAGAGTACGTTCTGTTATTAAAGGAGCCATGAAATTTAAGTGACAAACCTGGCATTCATAAATCAGATCCCTCATAACACCCTAGGCTAAGCTATTTTCGCTCTCAGATAGATTTAGCTCTGCAGAAGCTCAGCATGTGTACGCATTGTTTAAATATGCACACACTTTATTAACTGTGGGAACTCAGCTTGAATCTTTTTTATTTATATTCACTTGTAATAGTTTAAGTAGCTATTATCTATAATTAAAGACCACAAGGATCCAGTCATAGAACTATAATAAGAAAAAAAAATTTCCCAAAAAGAATAAAAAACTGAGAATTGAGCTGCTTAGATAACAACTTATGATGCAAGAAGGAGTTTCATTCCCATTTTTACCAGGAGATGTTCATATGAACTGAATCTATTAAAAAAAAATGTACCTGTAAAAATAAAATCCTAATGCAGCTGCAGCATCAGACATTTTTTGATGGTTGTAAAGCTTTTCTAATAGAATAAAACTTGACGGTAATGAATTATTTTTAATCTTTGACCTGAATGGTACAATATATATATATATATATATATATATATATATATATATATATATATAAATTCTTTTGACATCAAACCACAGAAATGTTTCCTCATTATGGAAGAGGATTAGGGTGACTGAAAAGAAAAAAAAGGAAAGAAAAGTAATTCTTATTTTAATCTTATTTTAACATCAGAATTTTGACTTTTTCTCAGAGTCAGAGTTCTTTTTCTTTTCAGTGACCATAATCTTTTTAGTATTATTTCGGTAAAACAAAATTCTTCATATGCTTTTTTCTAATTGTGGGATAAAATAGCTTACATCAACAATAGATTACCTAAAAATGTGATACGTGATACCCAGAGCCAATTTCGAATGTCTGGCAGCCATAAATTTCCAGTGAGGTGGACGGGAATTCTTGTTGAGAATGGCAGAAAAGCCAAATCATCAGCTTGAAGACAAATAAAGCCAACAAAAATTGCTTAAAGCTTCACAGGTTTTGTTGTGATATGTTCATTTAGCCGATTGCTGTAAAATCACTGACACTAGTCAGTGACTTGATGCAATTTGCTGGGTTCCTTATATGGGAAACTTTGGCTTGATGAACTGACCTGTATTGGAATGTTTACCATGTGGAGTGCCTTGAGACAACTTTTGTGATTTGGCGCTATATAAATAAACTTGATTTGAATTGAATTTGAACAGGGAAGTTGGTGTCAAGATGTTAAAGATTAGCAAAGCTAAGGATGAGTATCCTACTGCTCCCGGGCAGGGTGAGTAGGAAAGTGGATTTCAGACAAGAAAAATTCCATCAAACTAATATATAAACAAAGGTTTATACTCACGTCTCCTATTTAATGACAGTGAAAATTAAACTGAGGTCACGAGTGCCTGGGGTTATGATCACTCAGTATGTGGAAAAAGTCCCTGAAGGAATGTCCACCCCAGATTTCATCCGGAAACCGATCGCACTCACAATTCAAGAAGGTTATGCAGCACACCTCTAAATACACACAAATATTTTTTTCTGAATCACATCATAATATTGACAAAGTTCTTTGGTCCCCCTTGTGTAGGAAAACTGGCCATCTTCAGAGCAATCATTAATGGTAACCCAGACCCAACTGTGACCTGGATGAGGAATAACGGAGAAATCAACGAGGACAGATACAAATGTGTTTTTGATAAGTTTTCTGGTGAACACCAACTACAGGTAAGACAGCTTTCTCTCACGACTGTTTAAGGCATCATAGAACTAGTATAAAGCAGAAGCATATCTATGATAGATGCCTGATGTTAGCGTGGATCAAGCGGATACCTACAAGTGTTATGCAAAAAACGACTTTGGAAAAGCCGTTGTCACCATTACGCTCAACGTCATCGAAGGTTGGACATGAATGATTCAGTCAAATCTGAAGCAAACACTAAAATCTAAATTCCTATTTTATCTCATTTAAATTTTTTTCTATTTAGTTGGCTTTAAGAAGAATAAAGCCATGCAACAATCAAGAACTGGTATGCAGTCTCTAGTTCACCAATATTCAACCATCACTGAGTTATGAAATAAGTCTAATGACGATGCTGCTTGTGTTCTAGCAATTCGGGAGTTACCTGAAGACTTTAAAAAAACATTAAGAAGCAGGTAAGTTGGAAGGAACTGCACAAAACCTGCTTTAATATTTTGATTTTGTTCGAATACATTTTCTTTTTCTTTTGAGGACGGACATAGCAACAAAAGAAGAGACAAAGCTAGAAATCGATGACAGGTTTTGGGAACTGTTATTGAGCGCTGACAAGACGGATTATGAGACCATCTGTGCACAATATGGTATTACAGATTTCAGGTGGATGCTGAAAAAACTTAACGAAAAAAAACTTGAGAGGGAGCAGGAGCAGGAGAAGGTTTGTGTCCATATCACTTTTTTGGAAAACTCTGTTAACCTATATATTAAAACTAGGGGTGAGAATTGAACATATTAATTATGATTACTTTAAACCCAAGCAACCTTAAATTGGGGGCCTGAAAAGTTTTGCATCACAATTGATGCCCTATTTATCAATAAATATCAAACTGCACCTCTAACAAAACTACAGAGCCTGAGCTACAAGACCACATAAACCTTTCTATGACAAATTTTTCTTCACGAAGAAAAGAAAATCAACTTCTTTATCATTGTTTTCTAGTTGGTAGAAAGCAGGCAGGCAGGAACTTTATCCATGCGAACATTATTACAGCAGGAGGGACAGGCAAACACACAACATTCATCTTGTAACCTTCAGCAGAACTTCCCCTGAACTCTACACTACACCTCTATATATTTTATCAGTGCTCTGCTGCCACCTAGTGTTCAGTTCAGTACACATATTTACAATGTTCCATGTTTTTTTACACTTCATCAGTAACACATACTAATATTTTCACATCCCAACAAATCCCATGATGGTTGCCTTTATAATGAGACAAAAGTGATCAAATAGACCTTGTGGTTACAGAAATATACTCAAAGTGTGGCTATGTCATCTGTGCCTCACTGAAAATAAAATGTGATTAATCAAGATTAATTAATTACAAAGCCTCTAATTAATTAATTACTTTTTAATCATGTCTCACCCCTACTTTAAACATCACTGAATACATGTTTGCTTTGAATTGTTATGTCACTATAGGTTGTTGAAAAACTCTGCAACTTGAAGCCCATTGAACTGAAACCTACCGGTGCTGCAGAGTTTGAACTTGAAATGTCACTCAAAGACCCTAACAGCAAAATTTTCTTATTCAAGGTGATGTTTTTTTTTTTTCAAAAGCACTAATGGAAAGCACTGAAAGCTAATCTGTATATTTTGTTAGTAGATAAAAAATATGTTTTCATCTTTATGGTAACATCTGAACAGGATGGAGTAATGATTCCCTTTGATGTGGACACAGAAGTAAAACACGGACTTAAACGGGTGGGTAAGAAGTTTGTTTTCAGCATTAGAGGTGTAAATCCTGAAGATGCTGGAATGTACCAACTGGAAATAGATGGAGTCAAGATATTTTCAACTGAATTAAAAAGTATGCAAACATTTAAAAATGCAAAACACTGAGAATAGCGACGGTGAGTTTAACGGTTTGTTTTTGCTTTGCTTTAGTTCCAGCAGTGGACTTCCTGGTTAAGATTCAAGATGTGAATGCACAGGTAAGAGAGGATGCTGTGTTTCAGTGTGTGCTCTCACATCCAATGTCAAAAATCTCGTGGATGGGGAAGAACAACCCACTGGAGCAAGGAGACAAATATGATATAACCGTCTCAGAAGACATGCTGATTCACACTTTGGTGGTGAAGGACTGCCTGCTACTGGACAAAGGAATTTACGCAGCTGTGGCTGGAATTAAATCATGCAATGCCTGGCTCATAGTGGAAGGTACGGTCTTAAGACCTCAAATTGTGCCCTAAACAATAAAACAAGTAGCCTTTTCAGAATTTTTCTAACAATAATTCTTAGTAGTTATGCAAATGGGCTGATTTGGTCCATGACTGTTAACCAAATAATGGAAGGAAAAAAAGGTTTTTATCTTCATGGTGTGTGCATCTAAAACCATGTTGTACAAGAAGGAGACAAGTTAAAGCTTCAATTACAGTGAAACATCTTTCTGTCGTGACACCTTTTGAAATAGATTCTGCAGAAGTGATGGACTATGATGTCAAATGTGCAAATGGGAAGCTGACCGATATTAAAACTTGGTTTTTAATGCCTGTGAAAGATTTTGTTGCAGAAACATTTCTCGAGTAAGATTTACTGTTATAAGACTTCCACTCCAGGTAGTTCTTTAAATAATTAAAACGTAAACCAAATTAACAATTGAACAAATATATGAACTTATTTACTTTATTATTTAAATTGAGTTAAACATAAACATTTTCCTGTGGATATGTTTTTCTTTATTAGCTGACAAGGATCCAAACATGATTGGAAAGAAGAAAGCTCGTAAGGCTACTCGTGCAGGTGGTGGAGGAGATGATCTTCTCAGGATTGCACAGGCGCAACAGGACAGATTACAAAAAGAGAGGGAGGAATTGATAGCAAAGGCAAGGGAAAGAGCGGAGGAGGAAGCAGCAGCAGAGGAAGAAACCCTTGAGTGTGAACCTGAACCTGAACCCGAAGCTAAAACTGTGAAACTGGCCCCAGTAAAGGCAGAGCCAAAAGCACAAGTGGAGGAAAAAGTAGAGTGGCTAGAATCTCTAGAGCAGGAAGAGGTGAAATATTTGAAACAGGAGGAACCTGCACCCGTTAAGGAGGAAGAGGCAGAAGAGGAGCCAGTTCAAGAAAAGAGGCAAAGAGTGAGAACGGGCCCACTTGTTCCTGAAACTGTTGTTGGTGAGATGCATCAGATCATGAATTTTACTCTAGATACTGTTGTGTATATTACATATTTCTGTGTAAAATCACAAATAAGCTGTAAGTTAGTGTTTTGTTTTCTTTTTTAGACCCAGGGGTTTTCTTCACCAGTGGCCTTTCAGATGCAACTGCTATCATTGGCACAGATGCAGAGCTGCTCTGCAAGCTCAGCAGTGAAGATGGTGAAGCCGTGTGGTACAAAGATGGACGAGAGGTTCAGCACTAAACTACTAGTCTCAGCTTTAATCCTCTGAGAAGTTAGAATGCTTATATGAGTGTCTCCATTTCAGATAACACAGGCAGACAACATGAGTACTGTTAAAGACGGAGCTTATCGCAAACTAATAATCAAAAACTGCAATGAGAAAGATGCTGGAAAGTTTAAATGTCAAGTTGATGGTCGTAAAACTGAAGCCATGCTGGTTGTTGAAGGTAATGTCAAGCAAAACAGCCAACATGCAAGGCATTCAGCATCTGTTTAGAAAAGTATTTTAGATTTTTTTTTGTTTTTTAACTAGATCCTCCAAGAATCAACTCTGATGACCTCGCTGACTTCATGAAACCAGTTACAGTCAAAACGGGAAAAGATGCAACCTTCAAGCTGGCATTTGTTGGCCGCGAGCCAATGAAAATTCAATGGTACAATGATGGTGAAGAGCTGATGGAGGAGAATAATATCAAGATTGAGAAATCCTCCACACATAGCAGACTTGTACTCACCAAGTGCCAACGCAGAGCCAGCAGTGGAATTAAAATCAAAATTAAAAATGAATGTGGAACAGCTGAGGCCATCACGCAACTTATAGTGTTAGGTAACATTTCATCACTGCGCTTGAAAAAGAAAACAGCACCTTTTAACCATTAAAGCCATTTGAAGTGTTTGGTAGTTGTGAATCTTCACAGCCTTGTTGGTCTACACAACAGATAAACCCACACCGCCTCTGGGTCCGGTGGATATCATTGAGAGTTCCTCTTCTTGCATCGAGTTCAAATGGAGACCCCCCAAAGACGCTGGCGGCTTCCCCGTGACCAACTATATTCTTGAGCGTCAGCAAGTTGGTCGCAACAGCTGGAAAAAGCTGGGAAAGATTGGGCCAGAGTCTAAATACAGAGACACAGATGTGGATCACGGGAGAAAATACTGTTACCACATCAGGGCTGAAACCAAACATGGCACCAGTGAAATGATGGAGACTGATGACATCCAAGCAGGGACAAAGGGTGAGTGATCTCAGAAGGATTTGGAAAAACATTTTCGATGTGACAGAATATTTTTTTTTACATTAGCATACCCCGGACCTCCATCCGCCCCAAAGATTGTCAGCGCTTTCAAAGACTGCATTAATCTTGCCTGGACTGCGCCTGCTAATACTGGAGGAACAAAGATTTTGGGATACAGTGTGGAAAAACGCAAGAATGGGAGTAACCTGTGGGGCATGGTCAACCCACCTGAAGAACCCATCAAAGGTTTGACTGCACCAACAGTCAGTTATGCTGGGGTTTTCCCTTAAATCTGGTAAGAAAACGAATGATTTAAACACATCTCAGTTGGCTGTGCCAACAGGAAAACAATGTGCGGTGAAGGATGTGGTTGAAGGCATTGAGTACGAGTTCAGAGTGTCAGCTATCAACACGTCAGGCGCTGGAGAGCCAAGTGCACCTTCTGAGTTTGTGATAGCAAGAGATCCAAAGAGTGAGTAAAAAAAATGAACAAAGCTCAGATGACCAAACAGCTTGTCAGTTTCTTTTGCTTCAGTGTGTATCTGCCACATCTCAGAGCCTCCAGGTAAAGTTACTGACCTGAAGGTGACCGACTCCTCATACACCACCTTGTCACTGAGCTGGACTAAACCCACTGAGGAGGAAGGCATCCAAGATGAAGCCAAGGGGTACTTTGTGGAGCTTCGACCAGCAGAAAACCCAGAATGGGATCGTTGTAACTCCAACGCCATCATTATGAACTCCTTCACACTTGTGGGTCTGAGGTCTATGGCCATGTACTGGGTAAGAGTTATCGCCACCAATGAGGGTGGAGAGGGTCATCCTCAGGAGTTGGACAATTACATCATCGCAATGCCTCCTCCAGGTGAGTCGCTATAATTTTGTTGGGGATCTCTCACTCTTTCTTGTTAAACCATTTCTTTTGTTTTCACAGTGAGACCTCAATTTACTGACAGAAAAATGAAGAACTTCATGGTGGTGAGAGCGGGGAACACCACTCGAATCAACTTCAATTTTAAGGTTCTGTAATGATTTTTCAACTAATTACATCATATCAGGTTCTTAAAACAAAGATTAGATTTCATGTGTGTTTCTCTGAGTTACGTGATAGAAATAACACTTTTAATGTGTCCAAACGGTCCCTCAAATCGTAAGTTAGTCATTTATAAATGTAATAACCAAGTACAGAGGAAACCCTAACCCTTCATCGATTAAATATTTTTGTTTCTTTTTCCATGACAAATTCATTTTTGTGGACCCAAACAAAATTAAAACCAAACAGAATCTTATTAAAAAATTAAATCATGACAAATATCGATCGACACTTTGGTCAACAAATAAAAGACAACAATGAAAATTGACAGTAACAAAAATCCAATCAGAAAACCAGAAACATGCAAAGGACATAATAAAGAACCAATCAGCTATTGGAACAGGTGGGACTAGATGAGAAAATAACTAATCAGAAGAATAAGAAAGAAGAAACTATTATTTTATCTTACGATAAAAATCATGAGCGGCTTCTCAAGTGAGTAAAGTGAGCCATCCAGGTTAAAGCACACTAAAAACCAAACGCATCATGAAATAAACTGTTTCTAAATACACATTAAAATTCTTTTGACATTGGTCCTTTTCACTGATTTATACTCAACATGGGTATAAAGTAGCACTTTATATTTGTTTCACTATGAATCCACTTCCTAAATCTGCATCTTTTAACAGGCATCTCCAATGCCAGAGATCACTTGGCTAAAGGATGGCTTGCCTGTAGCCAAAAATGTGACAGTGAGCAACACAGATACATCCTCACAGTTAATGATACCCTCATCAGAGCGTAACGACACAGGGATCTACACCATTATTGTCAAGAACATTGTTGGTCAGGAGACCTCCAGCGTTGAGATAAGAGTCACAGGTAAAACAAAAGTCTTCCGTATCCATTCATTCATTAAAGCAAAAATGTTTTTTAACTAATTACCTTCAGCCTGGAAAGGTTTTCAAACCATTGAAATCCTCCAACAATGACTGATAACAATTAAAGGAAAAAGTTGGTAATTATTTCCTTCCTGCTCTGTAGATGATCCCAAGCCTCCGGGCCCCGTAGAGCTGAATGAGAACGTGTCAGGAACTGTCTCAGTGACATGGACGCCCTCTCCAGATGAGAAGAAAGATGACAGACTCCATTATGTAGTTAGCAAACATGATTCTGTTAAACACACTTGGCAAACAGTGGCTGATCATCTCTTCAACAACATGTTCACTGCCATCAATATCATGCCAGGAAGGCAGTATAAGTTCCGGATCTATGCCAAAAATGACATGGGGCTTTCAGAACCATCTGAGTCAGCAACCTGGCAAGTGAACAAGAAGAAAGGCAAGTTTTAGAATTTGGCTAATATACATGAAAGATAGACTAGAATCTAGGCCGCCATTTGCCAAAGCAAAATATTTTTACTTTGCATTTCAGTCTAGCCAAGCTCCATTGGAACCTCAGCAGCCCCAGCCAGTATTGTGGCTGGCCAGTCACAGCATGTTTATTTATTTAAAAAAAATGTATAATTGTCTTTCTCCCTGCTTCTTACATGATGTAATCCACAGCGCTCTATTGGTTTGATGGGCCAATCACTCTGAGGGTGGGCGGGATGTTACTCCAAAAACAAAGGTGGCGGCATCTCGTTTGAAAGGGCTTTGGCATCAATTTTGGACTATTTTGACTTGGGCTTTTCTTTGAGTCAAGAGCAGATAGAAGTACTTCTACTACTACTACTACTACTACTACTACTACTAAACTTTATTTATACAGCGCCTTCTCATGGCCCAAGGAACAAACAAAGCGCTGCACAACAGAAATGAACATAAAGAAATAAAAACAAATAAAACCATTTAAAAACCAACAAAAACATGTAGATAAAATCTATATTTAAATTTATTTTAAAAGAGGATTTGTTTGCATCTTCTTTGACGGAGTGTGGCGGACTGCCTCCATGATGAACACCCGTAGCGGTGAGTCCGTCATGCTGTTTGTTATACAATAGCATGCAGAGACCCCACAACTGAGAGTGTCAATGGACCGTGGCCAGACTGCATTCGCGTATAGTTTGTCAGGCTACGTGAACACCAAATTTTAGTGTTTCCAGCAACAGACAAGTAAAATCAATTAATATTTTATTACGTCTCATAATTATTTTTATTTTTTGCTTCCAGAAAAGGTTTTTTTAAACCTTCCTGCTTCCAAGAGCTGCAGTTTTGAGGCACCGCCATCCTTTTCTGTTCCTCTAAAGATGCACCAAAGTCCTGAGAGCTATGAGTGCTATATGAGTTGTGCTGTGACGGGCAACCCCAGGCCCCATGTCACCTGGTACAAAAACAGCCTCAGCCTCAACACCAACACCAACTACCACATCACAAACACATGTGGCGTCTGCTCCCTGCTGGTGCTCAACGTCAGACCCAAGGACAGCGGCGATTACACAGTTGTTGCAGAAAACCCTCTAGGCAGGGTGGAGTGTGCAACAAAACTTCTCGTTAAAGGTAAAAATTATAGGTTTGGTTTCTTAAATGTTTAAAGGGGTTTTACACCCCTAAGGGAAATTTAGTCTGTTGCCGTATTTCGCGCAGTGGTATCGAGTAGCTTTTTGGGGCACAGAGGAAGAATAAACCTTCCTGTTGTGAAACTGACATCAGCTCAACGTGTGTCCTTTTTTTCTATTCTTCATCACAGACACACGTTATTGAACAGGAAACCAGTTGCCCCTCTGGTCATCACCTTAGGGAGGCAACATTAGATAAGTGTAAAAAGCCTTTTGTAACCAGCCTTTTGTAACCATTCTCCTAATCTGGCAGCATTCTTTTAGCTTTAGGTTTTTGGGTTACATTGCAAAGGAATATTGCAAAGCTGAGTCCCATTCTATCCTGCTCTGAACTTGAGACAGTTCTCCACACCTTCATCTCCTCACGCCTAGGCTACTGCAACTCTCTTTTCACGTGTCTGAGCAGAACCTCCCTGAACCGTCTACAGGTGGTTCAGAATGCCTGTACTCGGCTTCTGACCAAGTCCTCCAAACACACCCACATCACCCCGCTTCTCCTCCAGCTTCATTGGCTGCCAGTCAACTCCAGGGTTTTTTTCTGGGTTCTGGTTTTTAGGGCCTTACATGGACAAGCACCACCATTCATTGGTGACCTTCTTAGTCCCTACACCCTCAGCAGGTCCCTGAGGTGCAACGCACCAGGCTAAAGACCAAAGGTGACAGATAATTTGCTGCTGTGGCCCCCAGACTCTGGAACTCTCTCCCCCTGAGATCAGTGGACTCCTTCAAAAAGTAGCTGAAGACTCACTTGTTCAAGCTGGCTTTGGTGTGACCTTCATCACCCTCTCCTTGTTCTGCTCTCCCCACCTACTCTACCTTCCTCAGGATCCACTGATTTCCCCCTTTCCTAATCACTCTCTCTTTCTTTACATTTTTTAATCACAATTGTCTATTTTTTGCTCTTTCAAAATATATTTTTAATTATTTTCTAAATTCTTTTTTATATTTTACATTTTTTGTTTTTGTGAAGCGCCTCCTGATTTTTATCTTGAGAGGCGCTATAGAAAAGATCTCTTCTTACATAAAAAATGTAAGTGAATGGTAACAGCTAGCATGTCCCATAAACGATCGTACTTTTACTTAGTGGCCTTAATAATCATATTCGTCTTCGTCTTCGTCTTCCTCCGCTTATCCGGGTCCGGGTCGCGGGGGCAGCATCCCAACTAGGGAGCTCCAGGCCGTCCTCTCCCCGGCCTTGTCCACCAGCTCCTCCGGCAGGACCCCAAGGCGTTCCCGGACCAGATTGGAGATGTAACCTCTCCAACGTGTCCTGGGTCGACCCGGGGGCCTTCTGCCGGCAGGACATGCCCGAAACACCTCCCCGGGGAGGCGTCCAGGAGGCATCCTGACCAGATGCCCAAACCACCTCAACTGGCTCCTTTCGATCCGGAGGAGCAGCGGTTCTACTCCGAGTCCCTCCCGAATGTCCGAGCTCCTCACCCTATCTCTAAGGCTGAGCCCGGCCACCCTACGGAGGAAACTCATTTCGGCCGCTTGTATCCGCGATCTCGTTCTTTCTGTCATTACCCAAAGCTCATGACCATAGGTGAGGATTGGGACGTAGATCGACCGGTAAATTGAGAGCCTGGCTTTCTGGCTCAGCTCCCTCTTCCCCACGCCAGATCGGCTCAGCGTCCGCATCACTGCAGACGCCGAACCAATCCGCCTGTCGATCTCCCGATCCCTCCTACCCTCACTCGTGAACAAGACCCCGAGATACTTAAACTCCTCCACTTGAGGTAGGACCTCTCCCCCGACCCGGAGGTGGCAAGCCACCCTTTTCCGGTCGAGAACCATGGTCTCAGATTTGGAGGTGCTGATCCTCATCCCAGCCGCTTCACATTCGGCCGCGAACCTACCCAGCAAGAGCTGAAGGTCAGAGCTGGATGAAGCTAGGAGGACCACATTTCCGCAAAAAGCAGAGACGAGATTCTCCTGCCACCAAACTCGACACACTCCACACCACGGCTGCGTCTAGAAATTCTGTCCATAAAAGTGATGAACAGAACCGGTGACAAAGGGCAGCCCTGGCGGAGTCCAACCCTCACTGGGAACAGGTCCGACTTACTACCGGCTATGCGGACCAAACTCACACTCCTCTGGTAAAGGGACTGAATGGCCCTTAACAGAAAGCCACCCACCCCTTACTCCTGGAGCGTCCCCCACAGGGTGCCCCTGGGGACACGGTCATAAGCCTTCTCCAAATCCACAAAGCACATGTGGATTGGTTGGGCAAACTCCCATGCCCCCTCCATCACCCTTGCAAGGGTATAGAGCTGGTCCACAGTTCTACGGCCAGGACGAAAACCACATTGCTCCTCCTCTATCTGAGATTCAACTATCGATCGGACCCTCCTCTCCAGTACCTTGGAGTAGACCTTTCCAGGGAGGCTGAGGAGTGTGATCCCCCTATAGTTGGAACACACCCTCAGGTCACCCTTCTTAAAGATGGGGACCACCACCCCGGTCTGCCACTCCCTAGGAACTGCCCCCGATGACCACGCAATGTTGTAGAGACGTGTCAACCATGACAGCCCTACAACATCCATAGCCTTGAGATACCCAGGACGAACCTCATCCGCCCCCGGGGCTCCGCCGCTGTGTAGTTGTTTGACTACCTCAGCAACTTCTGCCCCCGAGATCGGACAGTCCATCCCCAGGCCTCCCAGCTCTGGTTCCTCCTCGGAATGCGCATTGGTGGGATTGAGGAGCTCCTCAAAGTATTCCTTCCACCGTCCGACTATAGCCTCAGTTGACGTCAGCAGCTCCCCATCCCCACTGTAAACAGTGTGAGCGAGTTGCTGCCTTCCTCTCCTGAGGCGCCGGACAGTTTGCCAGAACCTCTTTGGAGCCGATCGATAGTCTTTCTCCATGGCCTCACCAAACTCCTCCCACGCCCGAGATTTTGCCTCGGCAACTGCCACTGCTGCACCCCGCTTGGCTATCCGGTACCTGTCTGCTGCCTCCGGAGACCCACAGACCAGCCACGCCCTGTAGGCCTCCTTCTTCAGCCTGACGGCTCCCCGAACCTCTGGTGTCCACCAGCAGGTACGGGGGTTGCCACCACGACTGGCACCGGCCACCTTACGACCACAGCTAGCAACAGCCGCCTCGACAATCGCAGAGTGGAACAAGGCCCACTCGGACTCAATGTCCCCCACTGCTCTCGGGACGTGGTCAAAGCTCTGCCGGAGGTGGGAGTTGAAGACCGTCTTGACAGGTTCTTCTGCCAGGCGTTCCCAGCAGACCCTCACTATGCATTTGTGTCTGCCAGGTCTCCGCGGCATGTTCCCTTGCCATCTGATCCAACTTACCACCAGGTGGTGATCAGTTGACAGCTCCGCCCCTCTCTTCACTCGAGTGTCCAAAACATACGGCCGCAGGTCAGATGATACGACTACAAAATCTATCATCGACCTGTGACCTAGGCTGCCCTGGTACCAAGTGTACCGGTGGGCATCCTTATGTTCGAACATGGTGTTCGTTATGGCCAAACTGCGGCTTGCACAGAAGTCCAATAACAAAACACCGCTCGAGTTCTGATTAGGTGGGCCGTTCCTCCCAATCACACCCCTCCAGGTCAAGCTGTCATTGCCCACGTGAGCATTGAAGTCCCCCAGCAGGACAATGGAGTCCCCTGATGGAGCACTATCTAGCACTCGTCCCAGGGACTCCAAAAAGGGTGGGTACTCTGAACTGATATTTGGCCCATAAGCACAAACAACAGTCAGGACCCGTTCCCCGACCCGAAGGCGCAAGGAAGCTACCCTCTTGTCCCCCGGGGTAAACCCCAACACACAGGCAGAGAGTCTCGGGGCTAACAAAAAGCCAAACCCAGCCCTCCGCCTCTCACCCGGAGCAACTCCAGCAAAGTAGAGTGTCCAACCCCTCTCCAGGTCTCGGGATCCAGAGCCAATGCAATGTGTCGAGGTGAGTCCGACTATATCTAGCCGGTACCGCTCAACCTCTGCCACAAGCTCCGGCTCCTTCCCCACCAGCGAGGTGACGTTCCATGTCCCAAAAACTAGTTTTCTTGTCCGGGGATTGGACCGCCAAGGCTCCCGCCTTGGTCTGCCACCCGATTCGCATTGCACCGGACCCTTTATGTTCCTCCTGCGGGTGGTGGGTCCACAGTTGGACGAGCCCATGTATCCGGTTCGGGCTGGGCCCGGCCGGGCCCCATGGGCGAAAGCCCGGCCACCAGGCGCTCGCTCACGGGCCCCAACCCCAGGCCTGGCTCCAGGGTGGGACCCCGGTAACCCTCCGGGCCGGGTACTCCGACTCTTCATTTTAACCGCCATGAAAGATCCTTCGAACCGTTCTTTGTCTCACCCTTCACCTAAGACCAATTTGTCATGGGAGACCCTACCAGGGGCACTAAGTGCCCCAGACAACATAGCTCCTAGGATCATTAGGGCACTCAAACTCCTCCACCACGATAAGGTGACGGTTCAATCATATTGACTGCCTTATTGATTGATTGATATTTGCCTTCCGGTTTAGCTCTCTCTTCACCATGACAGATCGGTACAACGCCCGCATCACTGCAGATGCAGCACCAATCCGCCTGTTGAACTCGCACTCCATCTTTCCCTCACTCGTGAACAAGACCCTGAGTTACTTAAACACCTCTACTTGGGGCAGGACCTCACCTCTGACCCTGAGAAGGCATTCTAGCCTTTTCCGACCCAGGACCATGGTCTCTGATTTAGAGGAGCTGAATCTAATTCCAGCTGTGAACCGTTCCAGTGAGAGCCAGAGATCACGTTCTGATGAAGTCAACAGGACCACATCATCTGCAAAAAGAGACTCAATCCTTAGGCCACCAAAACAGATATCCTCAACACCATTGCTGTGCCTACAAACCCTGTCCACAAAAATTATGAACAGAATCCTTGACAAAGAGCAGCCTCGGCAGAATCCAACTCTCACTGGAAACAAGCTCGACTTACTGCCGGCAATGCGGACCAAGCATTGACACCAGTCATACAGGGACCTAACAGCCCGTATCAGAGGGCCCCATACTCCCAAAGTACCCCCCAAGGGTTGCGGTTAAATGCCTTCTCCAAATCCACAAAACACATGTAGATTGGTTCTGCAAATTTTCATTATTTTTTCACACAAAATGCTAGCTTTTACCATTCACTTACATTCATTATGCTAAGATAAAGCTAACTGAATACTGCCAGATTCGGAGAATGACTGGGCTGGTTTTTCCCCATTTATTTAACTCTTGAGAATGTGGCAACAGACTAAATTTCACTTAGTATGCCTTTAAGTTTGCTCCAATGGAAATGAAATGTAACTGATTCTTCCCTGTTTCCTGTTTCAACAGATTAACACGATGAAGGTCTCCACAAGTCTCCTGTTTCATTCAACAGGATGGAGCAGCATTTATCATTTAAAGATTGCTGCCATCCAATTTACTTTTGTGAATTATTGTTATGTGTTTAAATAAAGTGCATTCAAAAAGAAATAAGCATGGCATGATACACAAGTACTGCTAAGGAACCTTAAGAGCTTTAAGGATGAACTATACTGGAAAATCGATAACACCGTTAGATAAGACCAATCATTAAAGAAAAGAGATACAAATTGGTCATTGGTCATTACTTATTGATTAGAATATCATTCTTCCTCTACGCTGCACAACTCACTAAAGCTGTAATCTTGAATTTAAGTGCTTCTAAACGTTTAAAGAATAAATGGATTAAAATGTTGAAAAAAGACATTTAGGCATTTTAAACCAAATGTGACTAACAATACTGTTAAAATGTATGTAAATTACCATTAGAATGGTTGTGAAAACTACTATGTGTTGACATATATCAGTATTATATGGAAGTTACTAATGTAAATGTAAAGTAAAGTAATTATTGAAAATCATGTGATGGTAGAGGGCTTAGGGAATGACCAGACGTACAGAAAGTGCTCTTTACATTTATTCAAGCCCTTTTTACATCTTTCCTTGTGTGTGTTAATTCATGAATCTTTCCCCAATATTTAAGTGTAAGGTTGAGCATTTACACTCGTATTCATCATGAGCTTCAAATTTCATTTCAGCCGTGAACATATGTTGGACAGGTGTGAACAGGACAGGTGTGAAAAGACACGAATGATAATGTTTCACGTGAAAGAATAAATGCCGCCTTGCAAACAGCCGCACATGTCAGTGTGACATTCTAGAACATGTAAATACAACAGCTTCAGGGCATCTTATTATCACTATGATGTGAATTTATTATATTGTAATTAAAAACTAAGAAATGGAGAAATCAGTACAAAACAGCGGACACATATACGTCATCTCTTTGTTCACACGTTATTGAGCTGTTTAATGTCGTCTTGATTTTATTTTTGATGCAGAACTAGTGGGATCTAAATAAGGTGAAATATTTTGATTGATATTGATTTTTTAAAACACATTTGCAGTGATCTCTAATACAGTTGTCACGGTAACCGGTGTAGCGGTAAACCCCGGTAAAAAAGTTGACAATAATAATAACCGTCTTGTTTTAAAAAATATATTATCTCGGTGGGTTTACCGTGGCTGTGGTGTAAGCGCGGTGACCTTTACCAGCCACCGTATCATCTGCTGAAGTTGCCGGCAGCACATGCGCACTTTGTTGTTTACAACCAAAACTTTCTTGAAGCTAAAGCTGGAATAATGGCCAAAGGAGGAGACGGCAGCACTCAGGACATTTATTATCTCTCAAAGAAGCAAAGTCAGAAGCATGCGCATTTTTTGGGTATTTGAAGAATGCCGAGGGACAGTTGATAGAAGACAGCTATCCTGTTTACAGCACGTGCAGAAAAAGTGTCGGTGAACGGCGGCAACACTTCAAATCTCATGACACATCTGCGTGACCATCACCCACAACAGTACAGTCAACGCAAGGCAAGCTAACGTTAGCGTTTTAGCTAAAATGTGTGAGCTGAGGATTTGGGTTGAGGGAGAATGCAACGAGTTGCTATATAAAGCAGCCGCAGCGCCCACTACCTGCATATAAAACGTGTTGCGGACACCTCCATATTGAAATGACGCTATGCATTATGGGGCTCCCAGAGGCAGATAAGAGTTGGTCTCTCTCCGAGAGTAATTATTAATTTAACAATGATTACTGCCTGATGACATTTTCCCAAATCTGCAAAGTTCACTGGAAGGACACAAACATAGGACAATATTTTCCTGATATAGGGATTATTACTCAAGTAAGGGTAAAAAAAAGTATCTGATTAGAAGGCTACTTGAGTACTGAGTATCATCTGATCTAATATTTTTAAAATGATGACATCAAACAGACAAAAAATAAGAAGTTATGGGCAAATATTGGTATTTTAAAGACTAAAGGGGAAAAGGGTAAACAAATAAACAACATAATTACAAAATAACAAATTTTAGGCAAAATTTAAACACAAACTGAGGACAGTATTTTCCTGATATACAGGGTTTATTTAGTTGTCTGAAAATTTAACACGCTTAAAAAAATACCGTGATAATACCAAAAACCATGATAATTTTGGCCACAATAACCGTGAGATTACATTTTCACACCGTGACAACCCTAATCTCTAGTAGAATAATTGCCTTGTAAATTGTACTCTGGGGGCCAAAAGCCCTGATGCACCTGTTTCTGCACTGAGAATTCAGCGAGAGGAAAAAGTAGCTTCAGACGTCAGGATCTGGAGTCTTATTTCTTGATATTTGGACATCTCTCCTCTGCTTGGATAACAGCAATGCAACTCTACCACTGACTGCTCAGCAATGTTGATGTTTAATCTCCACAAATAAAAGTTTGAAAGAGCTCTGCTATATGGTGGAGTTGCTATAGCTTTGTGGCTTTGAAATGGTTTAGTTCATTTCTTGCACAGAGGATTTTCTGCATTAGTTAGAAAAAAATGCCACTCCTCCACAGCTCCATTATTATGTGGGGTGCCTCAGGGCTCAATACTCGGCCCCTTGCTTTTTATCTTCTATTGATTACTTCTTGGGTCAATCTTTAGGAAGCATAAGATAGATTTCCATTGCTATGCTGATGATACTCAGACGTACATGCCCGTTAAACAGAAAGAAGGCTGTGGTGTTGAGTCCCTGGTTGTTTGCTTGGAGGATGTAAAGGCTTGGATGTTTTCAAAATTTTTTTAGTGAAAAGAAGATTGTTCTTGGTTCTGGCACTGCTGGCGGAAAACCTTCTCAGAACCTGGGTCCTATGGCACTGTACAGGAAGCCTTTAGTGACAAATATGGGTTTTTGGATGGACAGCAATCTAAAGTTGCATAATCTGGTTAGGGCAGTGGTTAAATCCAGTGTTTTTTCATGTAAGACAGCTTGCGAAGGTGAACAGTACTATGTCAATTGGGGATTTTGAGACCGTAAACCATGCTTTTATTACAACATGGCTAGATTATTGTAATTCTCTGTACTTTGGCATTTCTCAGTCATGTCCCACCTTCAGATGGTGCAAAATGCTGCTGTTCATCTTTTGACGGGCACACAAAGGAGAGAAAATATTACTACTGTTTTGGACTTGCTGCACTGGCTGCCTATTGATTTTAGGGTTTGTTTTAAACTTTTGCTGTTTGTGTTCAAATCCATAAATGACATTGCCCCCTCATACATCTCCAAGTTACTGCACATCCACACTTCATCCCGGTTGCTTAGGTCATCTGGCCAGTTGGTCCTGGAGGTGCCGAATACTTGGCATAAACTCAGGGATGATAGGGCTTTCGCAGCTACTGCACCAAAACTTTGGAATGACCTACCAGCACAGGTTTGGAAGGCCACGTCGTTGGAAACTTTTAAATCATGCTTGAAGACCCTTTTTATGGCCCAGTATGAGTTGTATTCACTGAAAGTTTATTTATGTTTGTAATCTTTGTACTTATTCTGTTTTTACTGAGTAAGTTCTTGGCTGCTTGTGTGTCTGGCACGTTGATCAGCTCGGGTTGTTGTTAAAGTGCTTTATAAATAAAGTCATCTATCCATCTATCTATCTAATTAGCTTCTACTAGTCGACATATTCTCTGCTGTTTCCTGGACGCTAAACCAACAACAGCCTTCCCCGTCAGGAGTCAAGATGGGAGAGTCCATGAATGTTAAGTGACAGCAAGAGGTAAATCTGTCAGGCTTTTCAAATCCTTGAGTTTCACCATCTATTTTCAATCAGAAGCTAATGCAAGAGATAGGTGTAGAATACTATTTTCATGTTCAGCCTGCATGAAAAACTCAAAGTAACCAATCATTTTCAAAAATAATAAGTAAAAAGGGGTTTCTAAGTGCTCCTTTTTAATATTTTTTACAAGTGAACAGAATGCAATGTAAAACAAGTATTGTAGACAAAATTATGTTTTTTTCTGAAAGTGGCAGAATTACCACTTCTTTGTGGTGTAATTTGTCATGTTCATCAGGAAAACTAAGATTTTAAGACCTCTGCAATAAATCAGCAACAGTTGATGCTACTGTGACTTCTCACCGACTGAAAAATACACAAATAGCCACATAAACATAGATAATCTAGATAAGTTCTCTCTGTGTGTAAAAATCAAATATGTGTTTCTGTTTTATCAAATAAGAAAACAGAGGATGTTTGACTTCTGAAGACTCCTTCCTAATGTTGACAGTGATTTACAGACCTATTAAGATGTCTGAGAAGAGAAGTTCAAAGTTTTATGTGACATGTGACTGATCATATGGCACTCCGTTTTACTCATCTTCCAGCAGCTGTGAACCACTGAAACTCTATAATATAGATCACATGTTTACATTGGGTGTTGCTAACTTTAAGCAAGTACTGTACAGTAAAATATTTGAGTAGTCAACATGTATACTCACAGCTCTAATGACAGACCAGTAAGTTAACCATTTATTTTTCTTACTTGGTCAAATTGAAGAATCACCTGCTTCTGAAATCAAAAGAGCCATTACTGTGGCCATTTAAAAGTGGGTTTCTGCTCAAATAATAAATATTTTCCTATTGTAGTGTCCAGAATGGCCTCTGTTAAGAGAAATGGAGTTTAGGGAAGTAGGTAGCAACGAAATGTTGCCCTTCCTGTGTGAGCAGGGATTGAGTCTGGCAGAATATTGGGGCAGCAGTAGCTCAGGTGGTAGAGTGGGTTGTCTCATTATTGGAGGGTCGTGGGTTCGATTCCAGTTCCCGCCAGGGGTATTCTGCTGTTGTGTCCTTGGGCAAGATACTTCACCCAACTTGCCTGTGTTGGTTGTGGTCAGAGGTGCCGACTGCGTCAAATGGCAGCCTCGCCTCTGTCAGACCACCCCAGGATGGCTGTGGCTACAAAGTAGCTTACCATCACTAGCAGTGTGTGAATGTGAGAATGCTTGAAAGCGTCTGAGTGTCCTAAACAAGCGCAATATAAGTTGGATGATGATGATGATGATGTTGAGGGTCTGACCTCATGAGGAAATTACTATGCAGTGATTTTCTCCAAAATGACTGTGCTTAAATTGCTCTGAAAAGCAAATAACCACATCAGCGCCAAGAAACTTCATTTCCCATGATGCTTTGCACACGGAAGCATTGGGATGATGTCACCGCCTAGTACCAGAAACACGTTCTGCGCATGTGCGGGAAGCCGTGGAG